ACACACCACGAGCACCGGTGAGTTCTGTCAAAGCAGGAGCTATTTTATTGAGGAAGTGTACAGGCTTATAAAGCTTAAGAAAGACATGTCCATTAGGGGAGTCAATCAGTGAAAAGGTCATGCAAGCCATGGGATCACACACTATCCGCGTGTCTGGAACCAAAGAAGACCTATCCCTGCCGGTGGTCTGATCTTACGTAGCTTAACTGCAGCAGCTGCAGACACGCCCCTTGAACATCCACCAGTTGCCATATTGTAATGGAGGTTTTAGGCAATGCTCAACAGATGGCAATATAGCAACAGGACGTTCTGAGTCTCTGGGGGAAAACAGATAGTTAATGAGAGGAAAGGGAATATGGGCTGATGAGAGAGCTGCAAGAATCTAGAGCAGAGAAACCAAGGAGTCCAGCAGTAACCAAGCAGGACCACACAGAGGAAGCAAAGAGTCAATGAGGCACAGCAGAGGTGCAGTGGAGAAACTGAATGGGGCGACTGAGGGTACGCCCTCTCCCCTCCCCAGGCAGACAAGGTGAGACTTGATGTCGGAGTCCACAGAGCTGCAATTAGCAGAGGGTGGGAGAGCCAGGTGAACTGTGTTTGAAATTCCAAGGTGGAAGAATAGGAGAAAAGACAGAGAACTTGGGCACACCTCTGCCCATACATGCCTGCCCCTACTCCAAACTGGACCTGCAGCCACATTGTCTGTTTACATCTCTGAATGTAACACAGTGCTACCGTATTTGCCTCCTGTGCACACCACACACCCATCAATTGTGGGGCCACTTTGCCACACACACCCTCCACCCAGAAACAAGTATCACATTTCAGAGTAATTTACCCCCACCACCACACAAACTATACAACGCAGAGAAGTTCCAAACATTGAAATCCCTGGCTCATTTAACATACCAGAGTCCAGTCCAAGTATGTGGGGCTTAGCACACCAGAGCTCTCCTATCTGCCTCTGTCACTATCCAGAAGTGAGCAGGACTTCCAAGGGTGGGGCTATGGGTTTCCACTGGCAACACACAGACACATAGAAGCTCATAGCAGAGAAAACTCTCACCACAAGCACCAAGATAAAATAAGAGGAGTTTTTCTCAGATCTAGAAAAAATGATGCTAAAATTTATTTGGAAATGCAAGAGACCTCGGATAGCTAAAGCAACCTTATTCAACAAAAATAAAGCTGGAGACATCACAATACTGATTCCAAGACATACTACAAGGCAGTTATAATCAAAACAGCCTGGTACTGGTTCAAAAACAGATAGACCAATGGAACAGAATAGAAATGCTAGAAACCAATCCAACCATGTACAACCAAGGAGCTAAAACCATTCCCTGGAGCAAGGACAGTATCTTCAATAAGTGCTGCTGGGAAAACTGGATCTCCACATGCAGAAATATGAAGTATGTACCCCTACCTTACACAAAAAAATCCATTCAAAATGGATTAATGACCTAAATCTATGAAAAATTACTAGAGATCATTGGGGAAACCCTGTGAGACATTGGCCTAGTCACAAAGTTCCTGGAAAAGACCCTAGAGGTACAGGCAATAAAAACCAAAATTAACAAGTGGGATTATATCAAATGGAAAAGCTTGTGTACAGTAAGGAAAGTAAAGAGGCAATGGGAGAATTTATTTGCAGTCCATGCAACTGATAAAGGATTAATAAGCAGAATATATAAAATTATCAAAAAACTCAACAATAGCAAAGCTAACAACCCAATCAAGAAGTGGGCAAAGGACTTAATATGACATTTCTCAAAAAAAAGGAAATACAGGCCGGCACCACAGCTCAACAGGCTAATCCTCCACCTAGCGGCGCTGGCACACTGGGTTCTAATCCCAGTCGGGGTACCGGATTCTGTCCCAGTTGCCCCTCTTCCAGGCCAGCTCTCTGCTGTGGCCAGGGAGTGCAGTGGAGGATGGCCCCAGTGCTTGGGCCCTGCACCCCATGGGATATCAGGAGAAGCACCTGGCTCCTGGCTTCGGATCAGGCCATTGGAGGGTGAACCAACAGCAAAGGAAGACCTTTCTCTCTGTCTCTCTCTCACTATCCACTCTCCCTGTCCAACAAAAAAAAAAAAAAAAAAAAAAGGAAATACAAGTGGCCTACAGACACATGAAAAAATGTTCAGGATCACTAGCCATCAGGGAGATGCAAATGAAAACCACAATGAGGTTTTACCTCACTCCAGTTAGAATGGCTTTCAGACAGAAATCAACAAATGACAAATGCTGTCGAGAATGTGGGGAAAAAGTTACCCTAATCCACTGTTGGTGGGAATGCAAACTGGTAAAGCCTCTACAAAAGGCAGTTTGGAAATACCTCAGAAAGCTGAATCTAGTCCTACCATACGACCCATCCATCCCACTCCTCGGAATTTACCCAAAGGAAACAAAATCAGAAAACAAAAGCATAAAATAAAAGAGTCATCTGCACCCCCATGTTTATTGCAGCTCAGTTCAGAATTGAGAAATGAAATCAACCTAAATGCCCACCAACGGAAGACTGGGTAAGAAACTATGGGGTATGTTCTCTATGGAATACTTCACAGTGGTTAAAAATGAAACCTGGTCATTTACAGCTGAATGGATGAATCTGGAAAATATCATACTTAGTGAAATAAGCCAGTCCCAAAGGTACAAATACCATATGTTCTCCCTGATCTGTGACAACTAACAGAGCACCTAAAAGGAAAACTATAGAAGTGAAACTGACACTATGAGAAGCAATTACTTGAACAGCCCTTGTCTTGACTGTTGAGAACCAGTTGATTATTTCATTTTATTTATTTATTTTTATTCTTTTTTTCTCTACTTAATTCCATTGGTTGAATGCCTAACATAACATAGAATTAATCATAGATGTATTAAGTCAATTGAAAATAGATCCCAGTTAAAAATAAGAGTGGGAATGAGAAACGGAGGAGATGTACAGATCAACACACAGTCCCACAGACTTACCCCTAAGGGTGAGCTAAAAATTTGCCATGGGACTCCCAATCCCATTTAGCTGGGTGGCACTAATCCCATCTTATGTGATAAAGTGATCATATTAAGTATGGAATTGATCATATAGATAGGACCAAAAGTCAAATGGATCACATAAATAAGACCAAGTGTCTGGCAATAAAAATAGAATTACAAAGGAGAGAATGTTTCAACATGGGAAGCAGTCCACACAGCAGACTCATAGAATGAAAACACCTGCAACAGAACTTTGACTTCAGAATCAGCCCCTAAGGCATTCTGATCTGACTGAAAATACCATGAGAACATTTCAGGAATGGAAAGCCAAGGCCTAGTGGCAAAAATGGTCTGCATGAAAGATCTCTGTGGAAAGAAGCAGCCATCAAAGAAGGATGTACTTTTCTCTGAAGGGAGGAGAGAACTTCCACTTTGCATATGGCCCTGTCTAACTACTGACGGAGTTTGCGGACTCAAAAGACTTCCATATCCTTGGCAGCTCATGTCGAGAGCCTCAGGTGGTCACTGACATCAAAAATAAAACTATCAATTGCTAAAGCAACAACAGAAGTCACTGTGCACTTGCTCCCATGTTGGACCTTTGTTCTTAATGAGGTGTACTATGAGAATTAATGGTAAAACTTATCTTCAAACTGTACTTTATACTTTGTGTGTCTGTGTGGTGCAAATAGTTGAAATTTCTACTTAGTATAGAGTTGGTCTTCTGTATATAAAGTCAATTAAAAAATGAATCTTAATCGAATTTTGAATGGGAGGGAAGTGGAAGTGGGATAGGAGTTGGGGTGGGAGTTTGGGAATGGGAGGAAGAAACACTATATCCCTAAAAGCTGTACATATAAAATTTGCATGCATTAAATAAAAACCTTCAAAAAATGAACATAAAAATTCTGTGTGGTATCCACCAATTTTAAGAAAAAGATTATGTAGTAAAAATTATTTTTTGAGTGCAAAACTGGGTAGTAAAATGTCTTTGCTTACTTCATTAGCTATTTAGTATTGTACTGTGTGTGTGTGTGTGTGTGTGTTTAATCTTCAGGTAAACCCAAATATTTTTGATCAACTCCAAATGACAGAATTGCAGTACATTCTTAAACTGACTCACACAGTATATAGCAAATAAAAGATTTTTCTATGACTCATATGCTCTCTACATGTATTTATTTATTACCATATCTTTTTGTCATATGTAGAGACTGCTGCATAAGTGTCTCTCAGACAGAAAAGTGTTCTGGAATTAGAGGCACAACAACAGGTTCTGCTCATGCCAATACAGGCTGTGAGATGGGCACACACGGCCCCAAAGGAGTGTGGCAACAGGAGCAGCAGAGGTCTAATGGACGTTAATTGGTAGCTAGGGTGTTTTTTGGGAATTTGTAAATTTACATGAGTATTTAAAAAGGCCTGTATCTGAAGATTTATAACACAGCTCTAATTCCTATCTTAGACCACCAGACCAAATTCTTTTTCCCAAACCTTAAGTTGATGTATAACCTTGCCTATGTGCCTGTTAGCTTTTAGAATTGTTGGTAGCCTCTAAATAAAAATAGGAATGCAAGGCTATTGGGCGGCATGCTCTTAAAATGGATATTCCTGTGTCCTATATCCTCATTTGAAAAACCCCAGTCATATATTTTGTGCCTTGTTTTTTGTGCTAAAACAAAGCAAGTTCCAAATGTTCCAAGCACAGGATTTCATACCATAGCTTAGCAAACACAATTCTGTCAGATTTTTTTTTTCCAAAATAATTGGTAGGCTGCTGAGGGATTTATAAAACTATGTATCTCCTTTGTCCCACATGTGAATGTGATCACCTGTAGGATGATTTACAGACTAGGAGCTCAGTAAACATCACTTGAATTAACAGCCTGGTCTTTCCTTTTTGACCCCTGGTCCCACCTCTACCCACAAAACTACTGCTCATGTTTTCACCAGTAAGTATCAGGTGGTAAACCAGCTCTGAATCCCACGCATCACAGCCCCTAGAGAAACAAGTCAACATCTAATCAGCCACAGAGCAGAAGCACCTTTATTGAAAAGAATGACCACCTGGTTCTCTTCAACACTGAGTAGAGCTCAATGAATTCTTTAGGCATTCGCAGGAATTTTCTAAGCTCCATGAGACATAATGAACCAAACTGGCACAGCGAACTCAACCCAGCGGCAATGCCCCTTTTGTGAGGAACATTGTACATATGCAGATCAATTCTGTTTTCTCAGGATCTTCCTTCACACTAGCCACCCACTCTTCACCCCGTTAAGTCTCAAGCACCCTACCGAAGGTGAGACTGTGAGAAGTACCCCCCTTTCTAGCTGCTCTCCCCAATCCTGTTTGCCTTGGAGTTGTTCCCTTCCCTGCTTGCCACAGGTTGGCACAGGCCTGGCTCTCTGCTAAGAGAATCTGCTGCCTTGAAGAAATGACTTGCTCAGTCTTGAGGTGTTAGCAGTTGCTCTCACAAAATCTCTTCAGTTCTGTTCTGGATCCAGCAGGTTGAGTCGCTTTATGATCATGTTGTTGATTTTCTTCAGATCATCTATGTCCTTTCCCTCAGCTACTAGTCGTCTTGACACGTCATCCATCCTGTTTCCAGTTTGGACTTCAAAATGGAAAACAGTGTTACCCTGGTTTCCAGTGAGTTCTACTGGTGCACAGCTGAACACTGAAAGCCACCCTTGACCAATTCTCTGTTCCCAAATCCCTGGGTCCCGGAGGCCAGGAGAGAAACTGGTTAAGACTGAAGCTGCCGGCCAGCACCACGGCTCACTAGGCTAATCCTCCACCTTGCGGTGCCGGCACACCGGGTTCTAGTCCCAGTCGGGGCGCCGGATTCTGTCCCAGTTGCCCCTCTTCCAGGCCAGCTCTCTGCTGTGGCCAGGGAGTGCAGTGGAGGATGGCCCAAGTGCTTGGGCCCTGCACCCCATGGGAGACCAGGATAAGTACCTGGCTCCTGCCATCAGATCAGTGTGGTACACCAGCTGCAGCGCGCCTGCCGCGGTGGCCATTGGAGGGTGAACAAACGGCAAAGCAAGACCTTTCTCTCTGTCTCTCTCTCTCTCTCACTGTCCACTCTGCCTGTCAAAAAAAATATAATAAAAAAAGACTGAAGCTGTCTATTAAGGGAGCTAAAATCTTTACAACCTAATGATGCCAGCCTGGAGTCCCATTGGCAGCTCCACACAGACATTGGCTGAGAAATTGATCATTGTGAGTGGCCAACAGAAATTGCCAGCATGTCTGATTATCTCCCTAGAAGTGACTGTGGCATTGTCTCATTTCTACAGCCATTCTCAGAAAATGATTTATCCCAATCATTGGGTAAATGACATTCTTCAAGTTCCATCCTATTTTGATTTGTTTGCTCTGAATTACCAGCCTGTAATGAATGTGTAATAATTCTCCTCAGACCACTCCTGAGCAAAGAGGCACAATATTTTCCAAACAAGCAATACTCAGCATTACAGTTAAGCAAGGGAATGGAACATTTGGAGGAGATCTGTTTATCAGAGTTAAAATTTCCAAGAACTAAGAACAAAATCACTGCTTTCTATTTGAGCTCCTTATCATTTCCATTTTGAGGTTTATTTGAAAGCATCTTTCAGAGGCTGATAATGTTGATAACAGGCTGGCTATTGGGCTAAGTTGATAACAAACATGAAAGATTCACATGCCCAACAGTTATGTCTTGCTCAAGTTAGAAAAATTATGTTGGATAAAATATGGTTCAAGACATGAGTCTTGGACACAGCTGCAGTGCTATGCAGAAAAAATACTTGCTTCTGGGGGAAAGTGTGGAGCTAAAGTCATCTGTAACATGTGACATCATTTCTCCCCCAGGAAATCTCCCTCCACATGAGTACAATTTCAGAATGTTTGAAGGCAGGAAAGGGCAGAAGAAATGACAGCATGATGCAACCCAGCAAAAGCGGCACTCTCCCCCTCAGACTCCTTCTGCTCTTAAATGATCTGGAGAAAAAAATCAAAGTAATTCCCCATGATTGTGTACAGGGTTCAGTGAGAAAACTGGCAGGCTCGGTGGGCATAACATGCAGAAGGGGTAGAAACACCATGCACCTGCCCCTCATCCCAGGAAGAGAGAAAGGTGGCCCAAAAGCTCAGAGGATCCCCTGACTGAGCAGCTGGTGTGGGAAAGGTTTCACATCCCAATACCTTCCTCTGGGGCCTGGTGCAAGACTACAGGTGCAAAAATTGAATTCTGGGATGATGTACAAGTTAGAAAATCTAAGAGGGAGTTCAAAACCTGAATGTGACTCTATGTTACAAACTTGAATTTAATGGAGCAATGCATGTACTAGATAAAGTTACTTAGGAGTAACTAGAATAAGTTACCATTGGCAGTTTGGGGAGCCAAATGGGAAATTAAAGGGTTTCAGAAATGTTTAGCAAACACACTTGTGACTCCCAACCCCCTGGACTTTTGCAGTGGATTTGGTCCCAGGAACCCTGTCCCTGGGCAGTAGGATTTATTCGGGGAACTCCTTTTCCCTCTGTCTCTCAGGGTAAGAATGAACTACCAGAAAGCAAGGATGCATTCCAAGAGCAAAATTAAACAATGAGCTACAAAGTGAATGCATGCAAGTGATGAAAACTCTGCCAGTGCTACTTACTTATCAAAAAGATGGCGAAGGACACCAGGGCCAGGCTGACAGTCAGCACAATCAGCAGCCCCACGAACAGCAGGCTCCAGCTTCCGCTTCCTGAGTTTGTGCCAAGCTCTGGGCTTTTCTCCTCTAGAGCTAAAAGGAAACAAACAGAACACAATGGCATACAAGTCGTCAACAGAACTGAACAGTTCCAGTACCCTACTGTTGGGCATGAGCCACGATATACCCAGTTTCCCTCTGACAAGCCTTGACCATGACTTATGTTTAGGAATGTCTTTGGGTCATGGGCAGTTTGTAAATTGTTTACCTCCTACATTGGTTCACAAAGAATCAGCATGGCTAAGCTAATCTTGACACCTGCTAGAAAGTTCTTTGAAGGCTCTTAGCACTGATAAAGCAAGGCATGGATTTTTCTTGGGAAAAGGAATGAAGAAGCTAAAGGCTGAACATCTCCCAGAAAACTCTTCTTATTTCAGGAATAATCAATTGTGTCTACATCCATTTCAACAGAAGTGGCCCTGCTGTGGTTTGGCTTCTTAAAGCTGCTTTCAGGGTGGATGTGCTTTGCAAGCAAGATTCTTTTCAATGTTTTGTCATTGAATTGGGGCTAAAATGATGCTCATACAATAGTCTGGTTCCCCAAACCATGAATTATCTGACATTACCCACCTTTTTGTGAGGTCTAGGGGCCTAGTGACACATAGGTTAAAATGAATAAGAAATAGAGAATTCTGGGGTAGTGGAGCAGATTGAATTACTTTTGGCCATTCTCCTACTTGAATTGTTCTCACTCACTGTGCTCATTCATTATGGATAACTGGGCAGTTTAAAACTCAGGTCTTATAAGTACATCCTGCATCAACCCCCTTAATATTTGCTTCCCCACTAAAAAACACCACAGGGTGACTCAAACACCTATTTTATTGGAATTGACTGCAATAAAGAAAAATGAATACCTGAACCCATTAAACAAACATTAAAAAATACTTCAAAATGGACTTAAAGGGGAAATGATAGATATAAAAACCAGGAAAACAAGTTTACCTGGAATGCATATAAAACAAATGACAAGGAGGCAATTTACACCTGTGTTTGGACATTAGTGTGTAAGCTGGAAAGAGGCACATACTGATCCGATGGAACTCATTCATAATATTTAGGAGGCAAAATATGGTCTTCAGGGATTCCCCCTCACCCCTTTTTCTAACCCTTTAATTGGGAAATTTTTAAGTAGAAAATGAAGGTGATGTTTTTGCCCAGCGTAATTTAAACGATATTTTAAAAACTAGGTGAACACATTGAGCATGGTTTCAACAGTCTGCTGTGTAGCAAGACCCCTGAGAGAAGCAGGCACCTTCAGTGACCTGCTGTGGCCACTAGATAGGCCCCGCCCATTTCCAGTGACAGCAAGTCTCAGCATTCTTGAAGACAAGACCTCAGATGTGACTTAGAGGCCAAGGAAGCCCAGGATCCTGTCAAGGACTCAGAGAACAAAAGCAAGAATTGCCCAACAGTCAATAGCATTTCCAGGCTGGTGCCATGGCTCACTTGGCTAATCCTCTGCCTGCGGCGCCGACACCCCAGGTTCTAGTCCCAGTTGGGGCGCCAGATTCTGTCCCAGTTGCCTCTCTTCCAGTCCAACTCTCTGCTGTGGCCTGGGAAGGCAGTGGAGGATGGCCCAAGTGCGTGGGAGACCAGGAGGAAGCACCTGGTTCCTGGCTTCGGATCGGTGCAGTGCGCCGGCCATAGCAGCCATTTGGGGGCTGAACCAACGGAAAGGAAGACCTTTTTCTCTCTCTCTGTCTTTCACTCTCTCACTGTCTAACTCTGTCCAAAAAAAAAAAAAATCGCTTCTCAGCCTTTTGGCTAAGATCAAGTATAATAGCATTTCCAATGCCAGGCTATTCCTACTGCCCACCACACCCACACATCCACATCAGCATTTGCTCTTTCCAGGCAGCATTGAGGAAGTAAGGCCCACAAAGCCTTCCACGGCACACATACGGAAGAGATGCTGTGATTCGGCAGGACAGAGGTTCAGTTTGTTTAAGTCGTTTATGGAATCCACAACATAAAGCTTCCTGTCTTCATGACGCTCACGAGAACCAGTGTCCTGGGAAGCACGATTCATTGTCTGCAAGAAAACACTGACATGAAAAATAAGACGCTGAGTAGGCTTTTGGGGAGGGAATCAGTAGATGAAAGATACTGTTGTGGGCTAGCTTTATTAATTATTTTAATATTAACACTTTGAGGGCTCTTGTCATCTATTCAGATAAGAATTCTGAATATTGGCTCGAATAAGCAAAAATATGATAAGTTTTAGCATTTATTTAGTGTGAGAAGTACACAGGAAAGTGAGGGCTTTATTTAAAAGAGAAAGGAGTCTAGAAGCGAAAGCTGGGTCCATACCAGGCAGAGAGCAGGCCAGGAGCCACATGGAGCAAAGCGTGTGGTTAGGAGTAGCCAAAGGTAGTGTAGCACCAGCAGAGAGAACAGGCTGCCAGAAGGCTGTGTGTCAGAGGTACAGGACAAGGGAAGGGCCCACCATGCTCCACACCTTTTATTTGCTTCCAAAAGAGGAATGCTTACATAATCTGATTGGCAGGTGGGCATACAGGCGAGGTCAGCTAGGGGCAAGAGATCACATTGGGGTGGGAGGGGCATGGTCTTCAAGCTCATGAGTCTAATTGATTTAATCCTATCTGCCTGCCTATTTCTCTTTCTCCCCCTTCCAAATAAATAAATATTAAAAGACAAAAAAATAGAGCCTGATAAGACACAACCAGAAGCAAGCTGACCAGGTGTATAAAGAACCAATTTATGTGGGAAAGTTTACATAGATAATTTTAAGTTCATGAGCTGGAAGCCACAACCTCTTTGCTCTGTGTTGTCATGTTCCACTATGTGTCAATTAGGGGACCCCTTCCCAGGAAGTTCCTCCTCTTACCTGGGACATGGGGGTGGTATCACATAAACACTTCCATTTTTCTAAGCTCATAAAAAGCTGGGAAGAATGGAAGTCCTCTCTCTCTTCCTTGTGGGCTTAGGAGGAGCAGAGTAGGGTATAATAATTTCCTTTCTTTGGCCCCTTTTCCCAAAATAAAGTCTTAATGAGTCTGTGCATTTTCCCCACTTTGTAAATAAAGTTTATCACACTGCATGCTGTGTTTAGGCCTGTATTTAGACTTCTTCTCCAAGTAAAAGGCAAGAAGCTGGAAAATTAATTTAGGCTCTGTTAACAAAATGGTATTATCTTACCTGAAGCACCATCTTAAGTCCTGGGCACCATCTAAGGCTCTGGCCCCATTGCCATCTGTACAATAAGCTTCAATCCTAAGCCCAGCCTGGCTTACTAGAAGTAAGGTGACCAAGTGGCCCAACCATAACACCCCCACCCTAAGGAGATTCATTGCTCTCACTTCCTTCCCTCTGCAAAGCTATATAAGACCTGTTCTCGTAGTACAGGCTGCTGTTCTCTTATGCACAGGGAGGCAGCCTGTGTCCCTTATTCTGGTGCTTGGTGTGTTTTGTGGTGGTCTTTCACTGGTGCCAAAACCCAGGACCAGGCTCTCCCGGTAACCTTGCTCTCCTCTCAGGGGTGTGAGCTGCTTCAGGATCCTGGCTTCTGCCAAACATAAAATGCACCCCCAGAACTCCTTCACCACTGAATGCTCTGTGATCTCCATCCACCCACGGACCCTCCAAAATTCTGAGGGAAGATGGGTAATGAGAAAGTCTCTCATGGTGACCTCTACACAGGTTGTGGTTCTGCTCTGCTTCATCTCAAAGTCCTGGTACCACGCACCACAACCTCCCATGGACTCTGCCTTCCATGGGCTCTACACCTTTCCACAGGCTTTAGGCCTCAGGCTCTAGTGGGTGCATAGGTGACAACCCCCACTCTCTGTTCCTGTACCCTCCCCATCAAATGGCTATGATCTTGGGGAAGCCTGATATCTACCAGTCTGAATCCACAGGTCCCCATGGGAACTTCCTATCCCATGTCTCATCCAACCCTCCTCTCAGTTGCCTCCTACCTTAAAAACCAATCCAGGCCAGCGCCGTGGCTCAATAGCCTAATCCTCTGCCTTGCGGTGCCGGCACACCGGGTTCTAGTCCCGGTCGGGGCGCCGGATTCTGTCCCGGTTGCCCCTCTTCCAGGCCAGCTCTCTGCTGTGGCCAGGGAGTGCAGTGGAGGATGGCCCAAGTGCTTGGGCCCTGCACCTGAATGGGAGACCAGGAGAAGCACCTGGCTCCTGGCTTCGGATCAGCGCAATGCGCTGGCCACAGCGTGCCGGCTGCGGCGGCCATTGGAGGGTGAACCAACAGCAAAAGGAAGACCTTTCTTTCTGTCTCTCTCTCTCACTGTCCACTCTGCCTGTCAGAAAAAAAAATCCAAATGGCCACTCAATGGTTTTACTGGAGAAGGCAGGGCTTTTGTCTTCGCACAAGAAAGAATTCAAGCATGAGACAGAGAGTAGTGGAAAGCAACATAGCAAGGTTTATTAGGGTAGGGACATCCATAAGAATGGATGAGCACCTCTCCAGACAGAACCTGAGAGAGAGTGCCCAGTCGCTCAGACTGGAGGAGAGCAAGGTTACATGGTTGAGTGGAGAGAATACACCTGGCCATGCCAGGCGGGTGGCTCAGCAGAGAGGCAGAGGGCTGAGCGCACAGTTTACAGTTAGGCTGGGGTTTTTAAGGGGGTGGGTCTTGCCTTCCCTTCTCCCTCTCCTTCTCCTCCTCCCAAACAAAGGACTTTTTGGGTGTAAATACAAAAAATTCCTTTCTGAGTTTTCCCCCTGAAGTTATCAGACAGGGGGAAGCGTGGCTGGCATCTGAAGGGGCAGGGCATTTGAAGTGCAGATACTGGGCTGCACCTGGAAGGTTATCAGGATGACTTTGAAATGCGGATACTGGATGGACCTAGATGTCAACTCCTTAGGCCTTTGTCACACACACATAATCTCATTTCTGACTTCCTACCTAACAATGGCATGTTTGATCCTGACATTCAGAATCTCTACCATTTCTGTGAGCATTTAAAAAGTGGAAGAAAATCTATGTTCAGTCTTTCTCCTATCTCATCTCTAAATCTTCTCTTTACACCTTGTTTTCTGGCTCATGCTCTCTTAACTTCCAAAGCTAAAAACCAAAACCCCTTTCTTCTATGTTTGATGCTCCGGCTCTCACTGTCTCACTCACTATACCTCCCCCTCCTACCTGGGAATTCTAAGCTCCTGCTTGCCCTTATCCATGTTTACTCCCCCTGTCTTATCTATGATCCACTCTAATACCTTTGTGAGAGGCCAGAGCTATGCCATGACAGACTTCTCACAAGACAAAGGAACAGACTAGGCCCAGGACGCTCCTGTTGGGAGAAGAAAAAACTTGACACAGGGCAGTCCTTGGCCTGACATGGCCAGGCGGGGGCAACCAATGAGGTGGGCGGACTCGATGTATAGCCATATGGGGAAAGAAGGAATGCGGATGTAATACTTGTTTGCCCGGGAACTTTAAAAACCCTGGGAACAAAGAGAAGGGGTTCTTGGCCTCCCAGCACTGCGTTGCTTAGAGAACCAGACCCCAGCATGCTGGACCTATAAATAAAGTCCCTTTGTTCTTTGCATTTTGGTGAGTCTGGCTGGTTCTTTCTATCTGGGCGATCCGGAACACACACCTTCATCCTGGAGAAGCAAAGGCAAGTTTAGAAAATGGTCCATCTCCATGCTGTCACCCTTTGGTTCTGGGCATCCAACTGGTCTTCACCCCTCCCCCTACTGATCCAATTTTACCATAAGAATAGCAAGGGAGTCGCAATTCCATTCTTTTGAGCTCATAGTTTACTGTAAACAACTCACCTATCCCACCCTTCTGATGGTTCTTTGTTCTATTGTGAGCAGGCCAGACAGGATAAAGGATCCCAAATCAAGTCTTTTGATCCCACCATGTAATTGAATGTCAAGCTGACCCTGCCAGATCTCCTCAATTAGGTCCTCTAGTAATGACTCTTTCCTTTGTTTTAGACTCTGTGCTGTAGATAGGCTTATGGAATAAAATTGATTAGGTTTGTGAGCTGGAAGACCATGCCCCTGTGTGACTTCATGCCCCTTCCTGGCCACACCTGAGCACCCACTGGCCAATCAGTTTAATTAACCACTCCCCTTTAGAAGTGGAGTAAAAGCCTAGGACACCATGTGCCCACTGGCTCCTTTCCTTGGCCTTTTGCCAGTAAAGCGCTGGATGCAGCTGTGTGCCTCCAGAGCACCATGGCCTTTGGGCCACCTGCCCCATGCTTCCTGGCCTAAATGCTCCTCCATGTGGCTGGCTCCTGGTACTCAGTATGAATCCAGATTCATCCCTCTCTTTTAGATAAAGCTCTCTCCTATGCATTTCTCTCATGAATAAAAGCTTAAAAATGTACCATGTTGCCTCATTTATCTATGCCAGAATTCAGAATTTTTCTCTGAATATTAGGCAAGAACCCACATGGGCTTATTAATATTGGAAATTTATTAATAAGAATACGGTGATGTGGTATGGTACCCTAAATTCTGATTTCATATGGCACCCCAGGTGGGACTTTTGGGGAACTTTAAGGAGGCCACATTTTGTTATCATATTTTAGGGGGCCAATTCCAATATCACCTGTCTAGCCCATTTGGGGCCTCATGCCTTTGTAATCATATCTTCTACTCTTACCTCAATGGCTCTACTCCTGATCTGTGTGTATTGGGGGTCCTCTACCCCCATTTAACATTGTATGATTATTCAGAATTTTTTCTACAGACAAACCCCTCTACCCCCAAGAGACAAGCAGCCTTTATCCTGGTTTTGGTTGGGATCAGTTTCGAATCCTTCCTCTCCTTCAGTAGTGATCTCAGGAACAGCTCTGGGCCACAATGTTATCTTGACCAACCGACTCCAAAAACAACTCTAATAGTCACACTCTTGGAACCATTGGCTGCTACTCTCACCCTGTGATAGAACAAGGACATAAGCCCCAGCCATTCTTGCTCATTGCCCAAAAGATAAACATTGGAATGTATACCTTGCCCTTGAATCCCAATTGGGTCTCACACCAATACCCCACCACTCATTCTTTTTCAGGTTCCCAAGGCCCAGCCTAATTCCAGGAATTCCCCTCCACCTACTTCCCCCTACCCCTACCCCAATCACTAGCCTTCCTTAAAAATGCCTGGCCTCTGGAGGCTGGGGCCTTCTGCCACATGTTCCATCAATGTACACATGGGCAGTTGGTCACCCAACTCTATGGATTTATTTTCTCTGAATAAATTTAGCCTGGCTGTAAATTTGATTTGTTGAGCAAATGCAAGGACTTTTTCAGCAAATGCTCATTTTTTTCTTTAGAAATGCACCTGAACAAATGCACCGGAGGTTTTCACTTCAGGTGGATTCAGTTTCGGTTTCTCTTCTCTCAGCTTTAGATGCTTGGGATAAAATGCAAATCTTAATGTCTTTTGTTCCTAATCTTGGTAGCTTTGGGTGAGCATATGCCAACACAAAATGCTAGGGTTAATGGAATTTGGGAGAAAATGCAAGAAAAGGGGCCAGTTTACACGTGTTTGCTGATATTTAAATCATTCCAAGTTGTTTGTGATGTGTTTTTAAGGAAAATGTATATATTTATACATTAAGGAAAATGTATATATATAAAACTTAACCTTTAAGTCATATAGAAGGATTTCACAGTTATCAACAATGGGTTTGCCTCAGGTTTTGGTTTTAAAACCAGGAATGCTAGAGGGACCTTTCATTTACCAGTTTTTTGTGGAACAAACTGGAAAGAGACAGTTCTGTTGCATAGTAACCACATGGTCTCGTAGGTAGGAAGTCAGAAATTGAGCCTATGTGTGTATGAGAAAGGCCTGAAGACCAGTACCTACTGTGGAAGCTCCAGAAGCACTTTAAAGTCCTGCCTGGATCCTGATGATCTTCTGTGGGGAGCCATTGCACCGCGCCCTAAAGATGGCGCCGGCTCCTTTCTCCCGGAAGGACTGGCGAGAAACAAACAACTCCTAATAAGGAGATGGCTGAGCTCCCTTCTGGCTTCCGCATTGCTGTACCAATCAATCCTTGCCACTTGGCTGCTTTTGATTGGTGTGCTGATGGCTATAAGAGGGAGGGGAGAGGAAAGGAGGCGGAAGAAGAAGCTTGTTCAAGGTTCCTGAATAAACTGCTTGAAGAAGAGTTCGGGTTGTGTCTTGTTGTCACGTCCCTCGACCAGCAAGGAAGACACAACCCGAACTCTTCTTCAAGCAGTTTATTCAGGAACCTTGAACAAGCTTCTTCTTCCGCCTCCTTTCCTCTCCCCTCCCTCTTATAGCCATCAGCACACCAATCAAAAGCAGCCAAGTGGCAAGGATTGATTGGTACAGCAATGCGGAAGCCAGAAGGGAGCTCAGCCATCTCCTTATTAGGAGTTGTTTGTTTCTTGCCAGTCCTTCCGGGAGAAAGGAGCCGGCACCATCTTTAGGGCGTGGTGCAATGGCTCCCCACAATCTTCCAGGGGTTCCTGCCCCTTCTTCCTGGCCTTATAAAAATCCTTCCTCTAAGGTGGGGAGATGCCAGCCAGGCTTCCCCTGTCTGATAACTTCAGGGGGAAAACTCAGAAAGGAATTTTTCGTATTTACAACCAACAAGTCCTTTGTTTGGAAGGAGAAGAAGGAGAGGGGGAAAGAAAAGGCAGGAAGGCAAGACCCATCCCCTTAAAAGACCCAGCCTAAATGTGAACGGGGCACTCTCTCTCAGGTTCTGTCTGGAGAGGTGCCCATCCGTTCTTAAGGATGTACCTACCCTAATAAACCTTGCTATTTTGCTTTCCACTGCTCTCTGTCTCATGTATAAATTCTTTGCTTCTCTGGTAACAGTCTCAGGAAGTGGGAGCCCAAACATGGCAGAGGGTTCACTTCCTGTGGAGAAGGGTGGGACTTCCCCTACAAAATGACAGTTTCCAGTAAAAACACAAGGTTTCCAAGTGGGTGGACACCATGAGGACTTCCATCCTTACAGGAAGATGGGCAATAGACTCCACCTCCAAACGGTAGCCCCTGTGGCCAGTCACATGCTGCATGCCTGATGAGCAAAGTGATTTTGTGGAGTTTTTTTGTTGTTGTTTTAGCTTTATGCTGCTCTCTTGCCTCCTGGGGTTCAGTATCTCAGGCATGGTGGACCTTCCAAGATTTCATCCAGGAAATCGTGCTCATTCAGTCAAGAGAAAGAATGCTATTCTATGTATAGGATCACCACAGACAAAAGCAGCTAAGAACATTTCTGGGAATGGCAGGATTCTGTAGAATATGGATTCCAGGGTTTGGGTTAATAGCCAAGGCTTTGCTGCAAAAGTTGAGTGGCCTTTCTCCTGGTCTTGGTTGGGATCAGCTTTAAACCATGTCCATCAAATAGTCTTCACAAGGGTCCACAGAGCCCCCCTCATTTCCTCTCCTCTATGAAATCCTCTCATTACCTGACTAATGCTACTCTTAGGATCATTGATTGCTATTCTAAACATGTCTTTTATACTACCATGCCTGCTTAAGTGTTTACAGGAGTTAATAATGGAATGAACCAAGGCTTTCAGCAGCCAGGCGATCAACCAAATGCTGCTACAGGGATATACTCAGCTCCCTACCCAGGAGACAGCACTTGAGACATTGCCCCACGCCAGTGAAGAGTATCTCATTGCCCCATGTCAGCAGGAAGTAGCTCTAAAGACAGATCATCGGCCCTCTATCCCTCCTGTTCTTTTGGGACTAATGTAATCCCATACAACTGCTTTATAAAAAAAAAAAAAAAAAAAAAAAAAAAAAAAAAAAAAAAGGAGGGAAAGTTAGTAAAATGGTGCAGTCCTGACATCATCCTAGGCTCTAGCTTTCGTTGCCATAGCTGGAAGCCAGGTAGCCACATGGTCCAACCACCAGTGTCAGCCCCACCCCCATCCTAATGGGATTCACTGCTTCTACTTCCCTGCCTGCCCCCCAGCAAAGTTTTAAAAGGACCTGTTCCTGAACAAATAGCTCTCTTTCTCTCTATCTTCTGATCTCTCTATGTCTGTCTGTCTCCTGATCTCTCTATCTCTTGATCTCTCTCTTACACTCTCCTCTCTTTCTTTCTCCTTCTTCACCCTCATCCTCCAGTCTGTTGGATTTCCTACAATAAAAATAAATTAGCCAAGGCTATGTATGAAGCTTTAAAAGGTACTGACACAGACCCACTTTGTTCGACAGGAAAGCTACAAAACGTGTTCCAAAAAATCAAAGAGCTTTTAGGGGCCAGCGCTGTGGCACAGCAGGTTAAAGCCCTGGTCTGCAGTGCCAGCATCCCATAGAGGCTCTGGTTCTAGTTTGGGCTGTTTTTCTTCCAATCCAGCTCTCTGTTATGGCCTGGGAGAGCAATAGAAGATGGCCTAAATTCTTGGGCCCCTTACACCCATGTGGGAGATCCAGAAGAAGCTCCTGGCTCCTGTCTTTGGATCAGCACAGCTCCAACTACCCACTATCTGGGAGTCCATAAAATATGTTCTTTGCATCTTAAAGGGCACTCCATTTGTAATTGGTTTTGTTCCAGTTTTGCTTATGCTGATTGATGAACTTGTGTATTTCAGAATCCAACATCTTCTAAAATAATGATGACCATGTGGGGGATGCAGCCATTGGTGGTGACTGAAAGTTCTCCAGCTCATGAGATGGAGTCATTAGATGAAGTAGGAACAGATTTATGGACCCAAGACTGGCAGGACCTCCATCCTGGATCAGCATCAAGTAGCTATAGAAGATATGATGAATCTACATCCTCCATCATCCGCTTAAGAGTAAGGGTTAGAACTCTCTGAGGAGGGAATGATGTGGGAAAGTTTAGATAGGCAATTTTAAGTTCATGAGCTGGAAGCCACACCTCCTTCACTCTGTGTTGCCATGTTCATCTACCTGTCACTCAGGGGACCCCTCCCCAGGGAGTACCTCCTCCTACCTGGGACATGGGGGTGGTACCATGTAAACACTTCCATTTTTCTAAGCTCATAAAAAGCTAGGAAGAATGGAAGTGCTCTCTCTCCTCCATGTACACTCAGGATGAGCAGAGCAGGCTGTGATAATCCCCTTTCTTTGATCTCCTTTCCCAAAATAAAGCCCTAAAGGGTCTATGTATTTTCACCACTTTGTAAATAAAGTTTATCACACTGCATGCCGTGATTAGGCCTGTATTTAGACTTCTTCTCTCAAGAAATTGGAAAATTAATTTAGGCCTTAACCCAGCCCATAACAGAATCACTAATACTATTTCAACTAAAGGTCTCAGAAAGTTTAGCTTATCCAAAAGAAATGCTTCCTTCTCGGACAACTCTGAAACCATCCTTTTTGCTTTGCTTTCTAGGAAGCTCAGGCTCAAACCTGTGGCCGAACTTCAACAGTAGAGAGCTCCTTGTGCCCTACCTGTCTGCATTTGCTCTTTTCTTCTCAGATTTTTCAGTTATGTCTGTATTTCTCCTGGACCTGTGTTTTTAAATTGATTTTTAGATTTTTTTTTCTCTTTCATTACATTGTTCATATCCTGGCAAGGTTCCTCAAATCTTTTATGCAAGACTGGTAATAAATATATAGAAAGACAAATTAAGCTTACAGCCTTTGGGCATAAAGAGTCTCAAAAGGAAAAAAAAAAAAAAAAGACTGTATACCATCCTCACTGCCCAAGGCCTTAAGTCAAAGCTATGATTTTTATATTTTTCCTCAGTAGAGTGCATGAATGGAATATTTTTTTTAAAAAATTATTTATTTATTTGAAAGACAAAGTTACAGAGAGCAAGAGGTCTTCTATCTGTTGGTTCACTCCCCAAATGTCTGCAATGGCTGAAGCTAGCCCAGTCAGAAGCCAGGAGCCTGGGGCTTCTTCCAGGTCTTCCACATGGATACAGGGGTCCATAAATTTGGGGCCATCTTCCTCTGCTTTCCCAGGCACATAAGTAGGGAGCTGGATCAGCAGTAGAGCAGGCGGGACTCAATCTGGAGCCCATATGGGATGCTGGCACTGCAGGCAGCAGCTTTTACCTGTTACGCCACAGCGCCAGCCCCAGTATTTGAGTCCTTAAGTCACTAAATGCTGGCTGTGAGTCTCCAAGATAAAATCTTAGCAAATTTTGATGTGCTAGGGATGAACCCTGCTGGACTCCAGGGTCTCCCAGGTCTCTTGCATCTAGGTGTCCCTTCACTGAAGTCATTTTTAACTTTGATGTTTACATTTCCATTAAATGTCATATTCTCTAACAAAGCACAACTTCAGGTAACACTGAAAAGCCCAAATGGATGGAAAAGGTTTGTATGAAGACATTCCTCTGACACAACAAGAGAATGTGTGGCCATGTCATTACATGCAAAGAGGTTCTAGAAAGAAAATTCTAGCTATTGTAAAAGCCTGCGTTTTCATGGCTGTATCTTTTCATTAAATAAGTTTAATGGCAATGTATATTTTTGGGCCTAAAAAGGATTTTAGACATGCTTAGTCTAGCCCCATCCTTTTCACAAATGCAGAAGTTGGCACTCAGAGAGATAAATGCCAAAGACTTAATTAGCTTGTTGCAAAGTGGAACTGGTTTGTTGCTGAGTTCAGTGGATCTTCCCTGATGCTGTCTTTGCTCTCCACACCCCTCCTAATCTTCTTTCTTTTTTTTTTAATATTTTCTTTCTTTATTTATTTGAAAGGTAGAGTCACAGACAGTGAGAGGGAGAGAAAGAGAGAAAGGACTTCCCTCCGCTGGTTCACTCCCCAAATGGCCGCAATGGTTGGAGCTGCGCAGATCCGAAGCCAGGAGCCAGGAGCTTCCTCCCAATCTCCCACACAGGTGCAGGGGCTCAAACACTTGGGCCATCTACCACTGCTTTTCCAGGCCATAGCAGAGAGCTGGACTGGAAGAGGAACAGCTGGGACTAGAACCAGCGCCCACAGGGATGCTGGCGCTGCAGGAGGGGGATTAACCCACTGTGCCACGGTGCTGGCCCCCTAATCCTCTTTCAAGACAGCTTCACTATCACTTCCCCTGAGAGGAGATAATCTGTCTCCTTCCTCTGTGCTGTGGCTGGAGCTTTGTGTGTTTTTCTATCAGAATATTGATGGTATTTTATTACATTCATTTGCTTACAGATTTGACTTCCCCAATAAACTGAAAATTCCCCAGGGTAGAAACCAATTCTGTTCTTCAAATGCTCAGTGTCAAAGCTGGGCAAAGCTGCAGCCTGCAATGCCAGACTCTGTAAACCCCATATTGGTGCACTGGTTTGCGTTCCAGTTTTCCCACTTCCTATCCAGCTCCCTGCTAATATGCCTGAGAAGGCAGCAGAAGATGGCCCAAGTACTTGGAACCCTGCCACCTGAGAAGACACCTGCACAACCAGCTTTTACTATGCCCTTATTATCCATTATAATAGTGCTAGAAAATATTGTCATTATTTTAATGTAACCTAAAATGTAATCACATTAGCTTATTAGGCAACTAGTAGTAATAATAAGCAATTCTAAGTGTCTTTGAGCTAAGTAATCCAGTAACTACATTAAGTTCATTATTGTATCATACACTCCCCCTTCCCTCCACCTGGCCAGATGTGACCCTACCCTGACCCAGGTCCAGGAATGTAAAAGGGAGGTTTAAAGCTTGAGATAACAACCAGCCCCTACCCTGGAGTCAGCGGCAGGTGTATCGGGACTTATCAGAAGTGTCAACTTGATCTGTAGCATTCCCCTAAAGCCTGCTTGTACATGATAATAAAAGCTCTGTAAGAATTGGGCTTGGGACTTCTCGGGGGCTTCCTCTCCTGGAGGCACTGAGAGGCCCGGGTTCCAACTCGTAATAAAAATGACCCTGCTAATTGGCTTCAACTTCGGTCTCTGGTGGTGTGATTTTCGGGGGACCACGGACTGCGGGCATAACACACCTACGTGGGAAATCCAGATGGAGATCCTGGCTCCTAAACTCAACTGTTGTACCATTTGGAGACTGAACTAGCAGGTGGAACATCTTTTTCTCTGTGTTTCCATATCTCTCTCCATCACTTTGCCTTTCAAATAAGTAAAATAAATCTTTACCCCCCCAAAAGTGAACTTGAACACCTAAAATATCTAAGATTTAAATCTCACTATTTCCCAATGAATTTGAGCCAGTTAATAAGTGCACCAACAGAAATAAGATGGAGGTCCTCATCTGATGTCTACCTGTACTCAAGTGAAGTCAATACAGTAAACATTGTTTCTGGAACAATATTGGCAACACATATTTCCTTCCTTCCACCATTTTTTAAAAATTTCCTCTAATGCCCCAGTATAGAGTAGAGAGAAATATAATTAGAGTTGAGAGAAGCCAAATTCAGGGGAAAAAAAATGGAGTTGGGAGGGGACACCTATGGAATATCTGAGGAAAGTACCCATTATTAAGTATATAGCTTCCTCTGTCCTCTAAAAGATCAAAAACACAGACGTTGAGAGTAGATTAGTGGCTACCAGATGTTAGGGAGGGGAAGGAAGGCGGGGGAAGGGAGAAGTTGGTCAATGGGTAAAGTTGCAGTAAGGTAGGAGGATTGAGTTCTGGTGTTCTAGTCACAGGATAGTGACCATAGTCAACAGCTGGAGAACCTTTTGAAGGTTCTCATTGCAAAGAAATGATCAATGTTTAACATGATGGATGTGCTAAAATTACCTTGATTTGATCACCTCACAGTGTATACATTTATGCAAACATCATGTTGTACCTCATAAGTACATGCAACTATTATGTGTCAATCAAAAGTAAAAATAGTAATAAATAAATCTTTAAAGGGGGGGGGCGGTGCTGTGGTGCAGCGGGTTAACACCCTGGCCAGAAGTGCTGACATCCTATATGGGTGCCACTTAGAGACCCGGCTGCTCCACTTCCGATCCAGCTCTCTGCTATGGCCTGGGAAAGCAGTAGAAGATGACTCAAGTCCTTGGGCCGCTGCACCCATGTGGGAGACCTGGAAGAAGCTCCTGGCTCCTGGCTTCGGATCAGTGCAGCTCTGGCTGTTGCGGCCAAATGGGGGGTGAACCATCGGATGGAAGACTTCTCTCTCTCTCTCTGACTTTCCTCTCTCTCTGTGTAACTCTGACTTTCGAATAAATAAATAAATCTTGTTAAAAAGTAAAAATATTAAAACTTAGGAATTTCTCAGTGACACTTAAAACCAGCTGGTACTTATGAAAAATGAGCCCCTAAAAGCCTAGCTAGTGGGCTTAACAAGTCGTGTTCTTTCAGAGTTAAAACTAAAATGTATTTCAGTTATCCTGAAATTTTATTTCACAAGAACACACAATTCTGTGAGTATTGATTTATGGTATCATTTTTGATGTTAATATTATGGAATACAAATATTCTTTATGGAGCATGACTAAGGGAATGACTTGATGTAACAACAAAAAAGAAAAGATAGGGCAGGCATTTAATGAGGTGGTTCAGATGCCACTTGGGACCCCCACATCTCCATCAGAGTGCCTAGGTTTGAGTCCTGGCTCCACCTATGATTCTAGCTTCCTCCTAATGCAGACCCTGGGAATCAGTGGGTGAAGGATTACTACTTGGGTTCCTGCCTCCCATATGGGAAACCTGGATTGCGTTCTTGGCTTTGGCCTGGCCCAGCCCCAGGTGTTATGGACATTTGGGGAGTAAACCAGTGGGTGGGAGATCTCCATCTGTTTCTGTCTCTCTGCCTTTATAAAAAAAAAAAAAAGCTAAAGAAAAACAGCAGCAGATAGAGTAAAAGAGCCTTAGAAATAAATCAGATCTTATCCTTTTAAAGCCAAGACAAAGGTCCCAAAGTGTTGACTGGTACATGGCCACAAATTTTCCAGTAAGTCTTTTAGCATCATGTTTTACTTTATTATCTCAAACATTATCATTTGACCAGGAATGCAGGTTGTGTGTCACATCACAGGATTATCTTTCCAAGCACAGTTCTATTTTAGTCACAGTGACTGACATATAGTACATTTTTGGATCTCTGACTTATTATCCTTGAGCCTTAGCTTCCTTTTCGGGAATGTAACTGCTCTTAATAAACCTCATACTAAAGTTTAATCAATGTTTACAAAGTAGAGAACCAGCTAGAGAATCAGCCACCAAAAAAAAATTTTTTAATGAAAAAGTAGTAGTAGAGCTAATAAAATCTCCAAATTCCTGGCCTTGCTACCTACTCAAAAGGTGACTCCAATAAAACTAAAACAACCTAGGAAGTGCTCAGTAAAAGCCATGCCCTGAAAGAAAATCTCTTTTTTAGGGTGAAGTCACAATGTAAATAGAAAATATATTTTGTAATGAACTGCAACATGCAAAAAGGAAATAAAGAACTAGCAGAGAAAATTGAGCAGGGGGAAGTCCATAGCCACCAAGAGCTGACAGATGACTTGCAAATGACTCTGTACTGCATGGATACAAAATCACATGGCCATAAAATCAGGGTTCACAGCTGTTTTGACACCCAGGGGTTGCTATCTTTGGCATCTCCAAATGAGGGCATCTGAGAGCAAGGCTGGAGGAGCCAAGATACTCTGTGGGACAATAACTCAACCCTCTCCTAACTCCAGCGTGCAAACTTGCTTTATTCACCAAGAAAGGCCAAAGCAGCATCCTTTAAACAGGACCCTTTCTTGTAGCTTGAACTGAAACATGTAAGTAATTTCACTTTCCTCTGTTTTTTGATCACCGTGGCTGATTCTCTTTGCCATGTAAAGAATTCTTTAACCACAAATAAATATTCTGATAAAGATAACTATGAAAAATTGCTTTGTGCTTTTTTTTCACAGTAATAACTTGCACCCATATTGCTAGCCACGAAATCAGAAGTGTTCAAATCGGGCTTGATTCAAAGCTAGTAAGAAGCTTTACTGAGTGAGTCATGGTAATTTGTCCTTTAATTCCACTTCAGAGCCGAGTCTTCTTCATATCTAGGCAGTAATTTTTAAAATCAAGTCTAGACCATTTCTATCAAAATTTAAAAGCACATGCAACAAAAACCTCCCAGACTCCAGAATCATAATTCAGTCTAGCAGACTAATAGCATGCAAATTACTTACGAAATGGGAGCTTTGGCTGCTAGGTTACCAGGAAAACAGCACCAAGTATTCAGGAGCAACCACAACAAAACTTGCTTACTCTGTCGTCTTCCTTTGCCTTTCTTCAGCAGACAGAGCTCCTAGGAGGCCCATAAGCCCCAGCATGAGCATGTAGGTCTATATTTAGTGTTAACGCAGGCAAGCAGTGTAGGATTCCAAATGCCAACTTTTCTCATAGTATCTGGTGTTTTTAGGAAATATACCAAAACTATACTTTTAAGAAGCAGCAAAAAGACCTCCATGCTCTGAGTTGGTAACCCACGAGGTATTTATTGATAAGACTGCAGTTAATGTGCTGCTCGAAGTCCCGACACACTTCAGCACTTCTGCCATGACACGCTCCCATACATAAATGTCCTGTAGCAGCAGGAGTGCCACTGTGACAACTAATGTAGCAAAGACCCCAGATCACTCAAGGAATGTAATCAACAGGGCCAGAGTGTGGTCGTGACATCATAATTAGGGTGATGGCAGGAAGCTACTGGACAGCATGAGGAAGGTAGCACTGCATCTCACCCACGGTTTTTCCTTTAAAGGCTTTATTGTGTGTTCTCACACACCCTTTACCAAGAATGTCAGCAGCTCCCACACATGCATGGCAAAGGAGCTTCCTGCCCTCTAGTGGACAAAAGGAATGCTAAGGTGTTGGGAAGCTCTGCCATGGCCCAATGACTAAATGGGCCCTATCCATCCTGAAATTGCTTTGCACAGCCCTTAGAAAATGTGCTTCACAGAATTCCCTTTACACTAGTATTCTGTACAAACCTCACTCTGCTTTTAAGGAAAAAGAATGTCATTTTATTAAGCTTCACCTAACACCCAAGAAACAATTCACAGAGCAAGACTGTCGCTAGCACTCTCACTGCTTTCCAGAGCATTACATTTGATAGTTATTCCAAATTACTCTGAAAAATGAAAGACACGTTAGCTATTATTTTATCAAGCCCAGTTTAAGTGGAAAAAAATGTCTCCCAACTACTTATCTATTTTTAATCCATCTATCCTTTGAAAAGAGAATTGCCTCATTTTTCATGTTTGCTGTATTTTACCTCCCTCCTGTAAACCTATGACCCTGTGAAGTATTAACCCCCACTTTCTTCCCCCAAGGGATAAGGAAAATGGACCCAGGCTTGAGTCCAGGTTCTGCTTTTGATCCAGCTTCCTGTAAGTATGCATCCTGGAAGGCAGCAGATGACTCAAATACTTGGGTCCCTATCCTCCACATGGGAGACCTGGATAGAGTTCCTGACTCCTAGCTTCCACCTGGCTCAGTCCCTGCTGTGGTGGGCATTTGGGAGGTGAACTAGCAGATGGAAGATTTCTCTCTCTCTCTGGCTTTCAAATAAATTGAAATTACAAATTTTCAGAAAGGAAGTGTTGGCTGGGGCCAGCGCTGTGGAGCAGCAGGTTAACGCCCTGGCCTGAAGTGCCAGCATCCCATATGGGCATCGGTTCTAGTCCCAGCTGCTCCTCTTCCCATCCAGCTCTCTGCTATGGCCTGGGAAAGCACTAGAAGACAGCCCAAGTCCTTGGGCCCCTGCACCCACGTGGGAGACCTGGAAGAAGCTCCTGGCTCCTGGCTTCAAATGGGCGCAGCTCCGGCCGTTGCAGCCAATTGGAGAGTGAACCATCGGATGGAAGACCTCTCTCTGCCTCTCCTCTCTCTGGGTAACTCTTTCAAATAAATAAATAAATATATTTAAAAAAAAAAAAAAAGAAATGTTGGCTAAGGCATTTAATCATCGAAGGACACATGGTTGGAAGCAGCAGAGAGGAGACTTTGTGAGACCTGAGCCTGAATCAAGGTTTAACTATTTTAATTAGGCCTCCATCTTGTAACTTGGGCCTGACGAGGCCCTGAACTCTGAGCCAGAAGCTCCTAAAAGTAAATAAATGAACTCCCCTTGCAATAAACTCTCCTAGCAACAGCCGATTAACAGATAACAGAGAAATACCTAGAGTGCCTGGTGTCTTCTCAGGGCAGATAAGGTAATTGATAGCTACCGAAGACCCTGCAGTTCGGCACGTACACCCCATCAGCTCGGACCCTATGCTTCAGCCAATCAATTCAAAAGGCATCAACCCCAAAGCCATCCAACCACCTTTAGTAGGTCCGTTCCCGCCACTGGATGCGCTAATCAATTCTAAGAGATGGCCTTTGAATTTCCCGTGGGATGAGATGATTTGCTAAATGGTACCATGATGTATAGAATGTCTCTGAAAACCCTATAAAAACCCTGTTAACTGAAGGGTCGGGGCTCTCAATTCAGACCTGCTGCGTCGGTGATTGAGAGTCCAGGCCCAGACCTGCAATAAAACTCTCATGTACTTTACAGTGGTATCGGCTCCTTGGTGGTCTTTGGGGATGACTGAACTGGGCATAACAACTTAAACCCAAACCTCACACCAAAGTCTGAATCCCATCATGCTTACACCAGTGAAGAGGACAAGACTGGCTTCAGAACAGTTACGCTTCTGAAGAACTGAGAGCAAAGCAAGATGACCCGCTTATCTAAATCTATGGGCACGTTAATAAGAGTTTTGAGACAAAGAAAATATTCTAATCTAGATTGTTTAACTGGGAAGAAATTCTTTAGTCTTGTGTCTCAAGAGACTAAGGCTCAATACCCAGGAAATTCAGTAAACGCAGGCAGATTTAAGTCATGTATGTTGACTGCTTCAAAATCAAAGTTTCAAGAAGTTGAGCAGGGACCATACCAAATTGCTTCAAATGAGCTAGATTAACCAAGAATCAAGCAACAGATCTATCACACAGCATTTTAGTACTTAAAAGTCAAGCATTCTGGGGCTAGCACCGTGGCTCACTTGGTAAATCCTCCACCTGCAGCGCCAGCATCCCATATAGGCACTGGGTTCCAGTCCCGGTTGCTCCTCTTCCAGTCTAGCTCTCTGCTGTGGCCCGGGAGGGCAGTGGAGGATGGCTCAAATGCACCTGCCTGCACCCGCATGGGAGACCAGGAGGAAGCACCTGGCTTCTGGCTTTGGATCGGCGCAGCACATGGGCCATAGCGGCCATTTGGGGGGTAAACCAATGGAGAGAAGACCTTTCTCTCTGTCTCTGTCTCTAACTCTGTCAAATTAAAAAAAAAAAAAAAAAAAAAGTCAAGCATTCTTACACATTGAATTCCCAGGAACCCCAGCCTAGCAAATACTCATCAATTTCATGAATAACACCTATATATATATTCAATATGCAGAGTAATGCTTTTGTTCCCTCTTCTTCCCAAACCCTCAAAAAGGGGGCAGAATAAAAATAACAAAGCCAAAAGAATGAAAATAAGAAACCACACCGAAGAGTTTAATAGACGTATTGGGAAGGAGGTGAGAGTGCCTCTAGCCTCAGCAGCACTGTCACTGATGAGTGAGCTGACAGCCATAGAACTCAGGAAGGCTCAGGACTTAGAGGCAGGGAGAAAGCAAGGAATACAGGCAGGTAATTTAATGTTAGCCAGAAATAAAATTCAATAGAAATATTGGGAAATCACATTGAGAAAATGTCCCAGAAATGAAATGATTGAGAAAAAAATGTTCGGTTTAATTCAAGTGTTCCAGAATCTCATGGGCCAAGAACTTTAGCATTCTCCAGGGAGCAGGCATTGAGCATAGCAGTTAACATTCAAACCTGAGTTTGACTTCTGGCTCTGGCTTCTGACACCACCTTCCTGCCAGTGTAGATCCTAGGATGCAGCAGTGACAGCTTAGGTCATTGTGTTTCTGCTACTTACATGGTAGATCTGGATTGGCTTCAGCTCTGGCCATTGCAAGCATTTAGAGTGAACCAGCGATGGCAGCATATGCTCACTCTCAAATGGATTTAAAAAGGTTTCTTTCCCACATTGCCAAGCCCACCAAAGCAGAGTACTGTGCAGTTTTAGAACTCTGGGAACAGATTCCACAAGCAGAAAAAAAAAAAATGCACATCTCAATACTCTGCTGAGAAGAGGACGCTGGATGCCTTCAGAATTCCTAATTCGAATACAACTACTTGTCAATTCATCTTCTTATTCTGAATTTTACTTCCTACCTAGAATTCTGTATAAGCAAAATAACTGACCTCTTATGCACTTATTCCCAAGAAACTACTGAAGGAAATCCTCCACTTTAACAAGGAAATAAACTAACAAATTGTCCAGAAAACATGGGATGCTTTTCAAGAAAACAAATCCTCAACATGATAGTGATGTCTCAGGACAGCAACTGTATACTCAGATCTGAGTAACTAGACTGAAATACAGAATTGTCTAATAAATTGATCTGGGATTATGTGGGAGTGAACATATAAACTCTATCACAGTAATGCAAAGAATTATGTTGACTTAACAAAAGTTAGAAACCTGAAATAACTTACTCATAAAAGCATATTACTTAAAACTTGAAACCAAGGTGCTTGAAAAAACTGAAGGCTGAATGCCACCAGGAATGGGACTGAGGAGCAGCAAAGGATGGAGCAGAAGGCTTTTTTCCTTATCAGTCTTTAAATACTATTAAACTGTTGATGTAACATTCACAAAAAATCATTTTTATCAAAAGTGATTGATTGTAGTTATGTAAGCAGCAGGCTCAGCAGTCGGGACACTGCTTAGGATGCCCACATCTCATAGCAGGGCCTGGGCTTGAGTCCCAGTTCTGCTCCCAATTCCAGCTTCCGGCCAATGCAAACCCTAGGAGGCAGGTTCAAGGGGCTGGGTCCTTGCCATGCATGTGGGAGGCCCGAACTAAATTCCTGGCTCCCAGTTGTTGCAGGCATTTGGGGAACGAACCAGCATAAGATGTGTGATAGCTTTTTCTGTTTCTGTTTCAAATGAATTTTTCTGAAGCATTACAAAAATATATATATACACATATGAAACTATAAAATTAGGGGTACAATACTACTTGCAATCTTTTCCCATTGTTCTAATCTACTTGGAATATAAAGTGACGATACATAAACTCAGGTTTTAAGATTCCAAATCTGTTTTCCACTTCAGGGATGGAACTCGGGAACAAAGATTCCATAAACCAGGCAATGTTTTCATCTAGAGAGTTCTGGAGACCTTCCATCTAGGAGTTGCTGGGGATGTGGGACGGGAGGCAGAGTGGTTTGGAAAAAATTGTGTAATTGTGGGAGCTCACTCTATACCTGCTTCCCCAACCCTCACTGTTTTCCACAGCAAGCCTATCAAAGAAACAAGTCTATAGATCCTAACCTGCATATGTGACTTCTGCTATACAATTTTAATGTAGAGTTCAACATTTAAAATGCTAATACTTAGTTTTCAATTAAAAAAAAAAAAAACCACAAGGGCAAGCAGCAACAATGTTCTGAAAAGTCAGTAACTTGAATCCCAATTATATTGTGCTACATTTTTTTCATTTATTTTAACAGTTTTGAACACATACATAATGTTTTGTCTCCCTTCCTCCCTCCCTGGCTTGGCCATTTTGAATGTTTTACCTCAACACCATAAATAGTGTTTATTTGGTTAGAAAAGAAGCATATTCCATGTGAAAAGGTCTTTATTTCAAAGTCAAAAGCACGAGGTCTCATTCAGCAGGTAAAATCAGGGTCGCTGCTCTCAGAGCGTAAGATCAGCCACCACCTGGCCCACCCGCCGTGGGCTCTGTGGACTCCCAAGCAGGACAAAGGGCTGGTGGCGTCATTCCTTTTGCTGATCCACTGACAAAGTTAACTACTTTACATTTCAAAGTAAAAATACAGCAGCTTCTCCAGAGGAACTAGCTCCCCAAAATTTTTTCTAGAACTCTTATTTAAGATAGTGTATTTGTATATATTATTATCATCAACCTGAATTTTTGACAACCACATGTATAAGAAATGAAACTTTGGCTGATAATTTTTCTTTTCATGAAATCATGTGAAATGTTGTATTTTCGCTCTCTTCATAAATAGATTAGGACCAAACATTACAAACATTTTATTCATATTTACTGATTATATTTACACAGAAGTCAGTGATCAGAACTTACCATAAGCAATATGTATATTAAATTATAATATAACCCCTGCTACAAAAATTATCTAAGTTGACCCAATATAAAAACTGTCTCTAAAGTTTAAATACATTAGAAATAACGAAAGAAAAATAATTTTAAATCTTCAAGTGCTGAAAATCTAGAAGAATTCTCCAACATCTGCTCTCTTATCTCGACATTTGCTTCGAGCTTTTGTTCGAGCTTTAAATGCTGCAGAGTTATATAAATGCTGAAATGAAGAAAGAGAAAATACATGTGGATCAGTTAGACTTAAAATGTTCTTATAAAGTGGGGGCAAAGGATAAAAAAATACATCAAAAAGAAAAAAAATGAATTAATTTGACCCTATAAATATCTTAAATGTTTATAAAACACATCCACACACAGAAATGAAGAAGAAAATTAACACAAAAAGTGAAGTTATTTCATACTAAGAAAATAATTAATCAAACAAGTCAAACATCAAGAAAATTCCAATAAGTAAAAGGGCATCAACATTTAATCTGATGTAGAAAAAGAAATCATAAGTCACGTGAACTATAAAGCCCAACTTTCATGTCAATTGAAATAAAAAAATGATTGGGTGTCATTTTAATACTAATTAAATTAACACATTTAAAAACTATAAGATCCTCTGCTGTCAAATCTGTATAGCTAGCAGTTCCCCTAAGATCTGGAACAAGACAAGGATGTCCACTTTCACTGCTCTTATTCAATGTAGTACTGGAAGTTTTAGCAAAAGCAATTAGGGAGGAAAAAGAGATAAAGAGCATCAAAATTGGAACAGAAGAAGTCAAATTATCCATGTCTCTAGGTGACATGATGCTGTAAATGGAAAAACCTAAACACATCCATGAAAAAAGCTGTTAGTAAAGTTGCAGGTTACAAAATAAACATACCAAAAATAGTAGCTTCTCTGTATGCTAATGATGAGGTCACTAAAAGAGAAATCAAGAAAAAAATCCTATTCACAATAGCCACACACACAAAAAATCAAATATTTGGAATAAATTTAACCGAAGTAAAAGATTTCTACAATGAAAATTATCAAACATTGATGAAAGACATCATCAAACATACAAAAAATGGAATGATATTCCTTGCTCATGGATCAGAAAAATATCATCAAAATGTCTATACCACCTAAAGCAATTTACAGATTCAATGCAATCCCTTCAAAACACCAATAGCATTCTTAACAGAGTTAGAAAAAACAACCCTAAAATTCATATGGAATCACAAAAGACCTCGAATAGCCAAAGTGATTCTGAGCAAGAAAAACCAAGCTAGAGGCATCACGATACCTGATTTCAAAACACACAACAAAGCTACAGTAATTAAAACAGCTTGGTACTAACATAAAAACCAATACATAGATCAATGGAATAGAGAGCCCAGAAATTAATCCACATACATACAGCCAACTGATTTTTTAAAAAGTGCTCAGAACATACAGTGGAGTAATGATAATCTCTTCAACAAATGGTGCTGGCAAAATTCGATGTATTCTGCAGAAGAATGATCCATACCTCTCACCATATACAAAAATCAACTAAAGATGGATCAAAGACCTCCATTTAATACCTGAGACTATGAAACTGCTGGAAGAAAATGGGAGAGACCGGCGCTGCGGCTCACTAGGCTAATCCTCCGCCTAGCGGCGCCGGCACACTGGGTTCTAGTCCCGGTCGGGGCGCCAGATTCTGTCCCGGTTGCCCCTCTTCCAGGCCAGCCCTCTGCTGTGGCCCGGGAGTGCAGTGGAGGATGGCCCAGGTGCTTGGGCCCTGCACCCCATGGGAGACCAGGAAAAGCACCTGGCTCCTGGCTCCTGCCATCGGATCAGCGCGGTGCACCGGCCGCGGTGGCCATTGGAGGGTGAACCAACGGCAAAGGAAGACCTTTCTCTCTGTCTCTCTCTCTCACTGTCCACTCTGCCTGTCAAAAAAAAAAAAAAAAAAGGAAGAAAAGCACTCCAACACACTGATGTGGGGGGATGACTTCTTGGCCCATAGCACAGGCAACAGGCAACAAAAGCAAAACTAAACAAATGAGAACTTTCAAACTCAGAAGCTTTTGCACAGAAAGGAAACGATCCAAAGAGTAAAGAGACATCCAACAGAACAGGAAAAAGTATTTGCAAACCACCTGACAGAGGTTTAATATCCCAAATACATCAACAACTTAAAAAACTCAACAACAGAAAAACAACCAATCCAGTTGATTGGCCAACAATACAGGAAAAAAGCTCAGCATCACTAACCATCAGGGAAATGCAATCAAAACCACAATGCGATATCTCCTCATCCCTGTCAGAATGGCTCAAATCTAAAACAGAGAGCAAACACTGGCAAGAAAGTAGAGAAAGGGGAACACTTACACTCTGTTGGTGGGAATGTCAATTAGTGCAGCCACTGTGGAAAACAGTGTGGAGATATCTTTGAAAAAGAGAGTTGCCATATGATCCAGCAATCCCACTACTGGATATATACCAAAAAGACTTGAGCACAATGTATCAGAGATACCTGTACCACCATGTTGACAATGGCCAAAATTTGGAACCAACCAGGGTGTCCTTCATCAGACGAATGGATACAGAAAATATGGTATACATACATACTGGTATATTATTCAGCTATTAAAAAAAGAATGATATTCTACCATTTGCAGCAAAATGGATGAAACTGGAGGACCCATGTAGTGTGAAATAACTGGAACCAGAAAGACAAAAACCACATATTCTCGCTTATATGTAGGAGTTAAAATTAAAAAAAAAAAAAAAGACAAAGAAAAAAACAAAGAAATGTCTATGTATATCACTATTGTTGCAAATACAGTTTTGTAAAACTTTGTTTAGAACGGTCAAATCAGTGGTTAAGAATGCTATAAAATACATATATATGTTATAAAATATATATAAAACATCATAGTTTAAATAATTTGTGATTACTCAACAATTTACTGTATATGGGTGAAATGGACATTTTTCCATTCCATTACTGTTTATAGCCACTGTCTATATTCCCACTAAACTAGAGTCTGTCTGCTTTTTACTTGCTAAACTTCTTATTTGGTAAAGTATTAAATTAAGCCTTTTTACTGTAATGTAATTTTAAAATGTTATCTCAAAAACAAAAGGAAAAAGGTAGGAGGGAAATGGGGGGAGGCAGGAAGGGACGGAAGGAGGAAGGGAATATCAATTATATTCTTAGAACTGTATCTACAAATCACATTGAATCTGTTAAAAACTAAGAATTAAAAGAAAATTTTTTAAAAAAATCTGTATAGTTACATGAATTTATTCATGGCTGGAGACAAGTAAAAATGACAGAATAATTTTAGAAGGTAATCTGACAGTATATATCAAAAATCCTAAATTGACCCTTAATTCCCACACAGATTTCTTCAAAGAAATAACTTTAAAAAGAAATTTATGTACAGACATTAATATTAACTGAAATTTTAACATCAATATTAAGGTTTTAAAATCCTACCATCAATTATTTGGCCTTAAAGCTGATTTTTAATATAAAAGTTATATTAAAATATAAAATAGTTATATTAAAAGTTATATTAAAATACTTCATACCCAGTAGGATTGCTTTAATTAAAAATAAAAAATGGCTAACAAGTATTGGTGAGTGTGTAGAGAAACTGGACCCTGTGCGATAGCAGCTGTGAGCAACAGGTTGGCAGTGCCTCAAAAGGATAAATCATTGCCCTATGGCCCAGTAACTCCAGTCCCAGGTATACACCCCCACAACTGAAAAGACATTCAAACTCAAACTTGCCAATGTTCAGAGCAGCATTATTCACACAATGGCCAAAAGGAAGGAGACAGCAGCCCAGATGCCCATCAGCATAAATAAACAGCATGAATAAACAGAACATGGTATATTCACACAATGGAGTATTATTCAGCCACAAAAAGGATAGTAGCTGAACAGTGGCAACACTATGCTAAGTGAAAAAAGCCAGACAACAAAAGGTCACATGGTGTATAATTCATTTAAATGAACTATCTAGAATAGGTACATCCACAGAGACAGCACATTAGCAGCTGCCAGTGAGCGGCTGGGGTCACGTAGACAGGGAGAGATAGCTAATAAGTACTACAGGGCTTTCTTTTGAGGTGATAAAAATGCTCTGGAACTAACTAGTCAGGAGGGCTACACAGCATCATCATTGTAGCATATGCTGCTATAATGTGTGCCTTAAAATATGGTGTGTGGGCCGGCGCCGCGGCTCACTAGGCTAATCCTCCGCCTTGCGGCGCCGGCACACCGGGTTCTAGTCCTGGTCGGGGCGCCGGATTCTGTCCCAGTTGCCCCTCTTCCAGGCCAGCTCTCTGCTGTGGCCAGGGAGTGCAGTGGAGGATGGCCCAAGTACTTGGGCCCTGCACCCTATGGGAGACCAGGAGAAGCACCTGGCTCCTGCCATCGGATCAGCGCGGTGCACCGGCCGCGGCGGCCATTGGAGGGTGAACCAACGGCAACGGAAGACCTTTCTCTCTGTCTCTCTCTCTCACTATCCACTCTGCCTGTCAAAAACAACAACAACAACAAAAAAATATGGTGTGTGAATCACACCTCAATAATAAAAAACAAGGGCCAGCACTGTGGCATAGTGGGTTAAACCACTTCCAGCAGCCCTGGCATCCCACATGCATGCCGGTTCAAGCCTCTGCTGCTCCACTTCCAATCCAGCTCCCTGCTAATGTGCCTGGGAAAGACAAGTCTGTGGGCCCCTGCACCTATGTGGGAGACCTGAATGAAGCGCCTGACTCCCAACGTCAGCCTGACCAGCCCCAGCTGATGTGGCCATCTGGGAAGTGAACCAGAGGATGGAAGATCTCTCGGTCTGTCTCTCCCTCTATCTCTGTAACTGCCTTTTGAATAAAATAAATAAATCTTTAAAAAATAATAATAGACACATATAATTAAGGATTTATGAAATGTTAAGTGAAAATATTAATTTTTAATTAACCTTACACTCTAAGCAGTTTTCTCATTTGTAAATGAGTGGTGTACTTCACTAAGCAAGCTATTATCTGGAACAAAAGAAGCACTTATTCTTAAATATGAAAACTCTATAGAACAGAAGAAAACAAAAATAATTTAATTTAAAATACTAGGACTATGGGTAAAATTTTGTATAAACCTCCTCCTCAAATGTAGTAAAGTTTTTATACCCTTAGTATAGCTATTCTGTATGACACGAAAAACTACAAATCAGCAGATATTGCAAAATACCCATCAACAAAGAAAATCAAAGCTATAGCTCCACTTTCTTTGAAGCATTTAGTTCTATTAAAAACAAAAACAAAACCTACCCTTTCAAAACGAGAAATCTTCATCGTTTTAAGTGTTGCAGCATCAAGCATCACCGGGGGTCCCAGCTCAAACACATTGCGAAGGAATTCATTTGACTTAAATGAATGAAAAAGGTGTTAAGACTCAGTGTAAATATCATTGCTTTTCTTTTTTTTACAACAGAGTGAATCTGATGGGGGTGGGCAGAGTTCTGTGAAACCTACAAATACGAACTCAGGTCACTTATTTTCTTTGTTTCACAGAATGACAGCAGACTCCTTTCTAATGCCTCAAATCCAAGAAAGCTATGTTGAGCTATTGGCTTTCATACAAAGACACCAGTAACATCCCACCACATTTCAGATCTACTCAATTTTACTTTCAAGAATAAATTTGCTGTTCCCTAACATATGGAAGCATTTTGGATATTTAATTAACTTCAAAAGTCAATTAGGTGAACAACATTGAAGAGTGCTCCTGAATTTAAAAGCAACACATAGAAAGCATGTCATTCACTTACCTGCAAGTGATACTGCATCCCAGATCCAAGGATCTCCTTAAAGGTGTCATAGGTGTGCTTTTTTACCCAGCTATCAATATACATGCGTTCAGGACCAAATTTAACAGTTTCTGTTGGAAAATCCCGTTCCTAGACAATGGAAGAACCAAAATCATCACAGGCACTTAAATGTTCCAAGAGACTTATGTTGAGAAACACAGTTTCTAAACAGACATACACATGTTGAAATGTGGTTTAACCTGATAATTCCGCACCTGCAATGTGGACAGACTATACAGGACTATCCTGCATGTCGTACTCAACTTGAAGGCACAACTAAGTATGAATGAATCATCTGGCACAGCACAGTGGGTTCAAACTGCTGCTTTGCAACTTATTGTTCTTTATTCCTTAGGTCCCATTTTTCTTTAAAAAAGGAGATAATTCTGTTGTTTAAAAGCTATTATGGAAGTGAAATAAGAAAAACTTATGGTTGCTGATTTAAGGAGTACATGAATTTCAACAAACTTTTGGTTTTGTTTCTTAAGGTTTATTTGTTCATTTATTTATTTGAAAGACAGAGGGACAGAGATCTGCCATCTGCTGATTCATTCCCCAAACGGCTGCAATAGCCAGATTTGGGCCAGGGAGCTCCATGTGGATCTCCCACATGGTGGCAAGGGTCCAAGTACTAAAGCCATCTTCTGCTGCTTTCCCAGGCGCATTAGCAGGAAGCTGGATCCAAAGTAAGCAAGCTACAGCTAAACCAGCTGTACCACAATGCCAGCTCCTCGAGAAAGGTTTAGGATAAATAATTATCCTTTATGTCAGTTGAGCAACCTTTGTTTAACAGATTCATCAGTGAAGCAAGGCACTCCAAAAAAAAACAAACAACAACAACAACAAAAAAAACAAAAACAAAAAACTAGATTCCCATGGAAAGAAAGAAAAGCTCTGAAGATCCTGTCTGCAATGCACTCAAGCAGCACCTGGAGAACAGCGAGTCCAGTGGAACAGTAGGCAGTGAGATGAATAGAGGCTGGGCAAGGGCTAGGAGGGCGAGATCAGTACAAGAATGGTTTCCACAGGTAGCCGTGTCTGCAGAGTACAGGTACAGGAGGCCTGCTGGATACAATGAAACTTCACTTATGTCTTTCTCACATTAATCAGTGCTGAGCGCTAGGGTTGACCTGTGCTGAGGAGCTCATCTGTCAGCTCCTACTGACCCTTACAATCTACTACTCAGAAAAGAGTCATCAAAACAGGAAACCTGAAATCAGATCTACTCCAGAAAATTAAAAACTTTAAATAGAGGTATAATGTATAGTTACTCGAAGAAAATGGCTTAATGATAATTTCAATTCTTCTTATTCTTGTCTGCTCAAGTTGTGATTGTTTTTAGACTATAAAATTCAGAGTATATATAAAATACGACTGCAATGTAATCAGAATCACATTAACCAAAACATACAGATCCTAGTGAATCTCTAATTTATACGCTAGTGTTGGCTTTTGTAAAAGTAGATTATGGCACCAGTATTCTGACATAGGAGGTCAAACCACTACATATCAGAGTGCAGGTTCAAGTCCCAGCTACTCTACTTCTACTCCAACTCCCTGCTAATGTGTCTGGGAAAGCAGAAGATGGCTCAAGTACTTGGGCCCCTGTTAACCATGTGGGAGACCCTGATGGAATTGCTAGTTCCAGCCTGGCCCAGACCTGTTGGTGCAGCCATTTAAGGCCTGATGGCATGATCCAATGGATTCAAGACCTTTCTCTCTCTCTCTCTCTCTGTGTCTAGCTCTTCTATTCAAATAAATAAGCCTTTTAAAAAGTAAATTAAAATGAGGAAAGTAAAGTACACATGAGAATCACTGGAATATAACAAAACTGGGTGTGCAGAGGGGCCTTAGCTTCTCTCATTTAAATTCCCATTCTAAATTTTCACACACACATCACACTGAATGACACTCTGAAGATACGCAGATCCTTAACAGAAATATCCTATCAGAGAGAAAAGGTTTCAGAAATATACCATTTAAATCCAAGAATTACTTCCTGCCTGGCTAATGGAAAAACATTATTAAGAAGACTCCAGTGTTCTCCAATGAGACTGCCCTTATCCTATAGCTCCTTTTAACCAAGCATTCTAATACCTGAAGGTTTCTGAATCAATTTACTTGCCATACAGACTGAAGCAGGTGAGAGGACTAAAGAACAAAATCAAGTGTCAGATGGTGGTTTTAAGTGTCCCTGGTAAAATGCTGGGTTGTGATTTTTAGTTCCTGGCCTTCCTTCAGACATCATAAGGTCCTTGCTTAAAGGCAAAGTTAAGTTAGAAACTGAGTTTATTATATTTATTAAAAAAATTGTATGCAAGTATGTACTGGTGTGTCACACAGCATCGCTTAAATAATGTCAGGTGTATCAAGATGAAATACATTTCTACCACCATGGTTTTTTAAAGAAAAATAATTAGTTTTATACATCAGCATAAAGTTCCCTTTGTTTAAAAAAAAGAAAAAAGAAGTAGCCTGCACGTCTGCTGTTGAAGACCTGGGTCTCAAAATGAAGAAATTCTTTTGATCAAAGGGAAAATCCAATCAACAAAACGACCCATCTGCCAAAAAGCAGCCAGAGCTATTAAGAGCATTTTAGCAGCTTACCTCCACAGCCCTCAGGACATCTCGGAAAACTGATCGCTGCTTCCTCTTGTCCACCTTGGCTCGGTGTTTATTTCCATCTGTGGCCAAAGCCCTAAGCATCTGAGTCAAAGACTCCATGTCCTCATAAAAAAAGTCCTGGTCAAGAAAAACAGTTTTGTCTTGAGAATTTTTTAATGTCTAATCCCTTCTAGAGCTAGAACTGTATAGAGCATCACAAATCTTTAAGCTGTTCAGAGGCTTTGGCATGCATAAACACATTTATATTACTGTGTGTAAAAATTAAATGCAGAAATGCTGACTACACAATGATACGCAAGACAATTAACATTCCCTTTCTAAGTTTATCCAGATGCAGTCAACAAATACTACTTGTGCTCCCACTGCATAAAAGAGTTTCAAAGAATTTCATGGAAAAACAGATACATGTTTACTGATAAAGCTTTGACCCTCTGGCTCTCTAATCCCAAATCACACATTCCCAGAATTCCAATTACTCTTATTCTGAAGGTTCAAGGTTATCATTAATGCTGTTGAAAGCACTGAGTTTCTAATTTACTGCTATATTTCAAATAAGCAATATAGCATTTAAATCAGACATACAGCCCAGGTGATTAACTCCAGATGCTTTTATTCCTTTTAGGGGAAAGCTACAAAATGTATTACTATTTGCTAAGGATAAAGGGCTTTTTTTTTTTTTTTTTTTTTTTTTTTTTGACAGGCAGAGTGGACAGTGAGAGAGAGAGACAGAGAGAAAGGTCTTCCTTTGCCGTTGGTTCACCCTCCAATGGCCGCCGCGCTGATCCGATGGCAAGAGCCAGGAGTCAGGTGCTTTTCCTGGTCTCCCATGGGGTGCAGGGCCCAAGCACCTGGGCCATCCTCCACTGCACTCCCTGGCCACAGCAGAGAGCTGGCCTGGAAGAGGGGCAACCGGGACAGAATCCGGCGCCCCGACCGGGACTAGAACCCGGTGTGCCGGTGCTGCTAGGTGGAGGATTAGCCTAGTGAGCCGCGGCGCCGGCCCGATAAAGGGCTTTTTTGTCACAGTTACTACGGCTGTACATTTCAAGGACTCTATCTGGGGTGTTCTTATTCCCTAACTACATTTTGCAATCACATTAAAACCTAAAAGATGATTGAAATTTATTTATTTGGGGCCCAGTGCTGTGGTGCAGAAGGCTATGCCTCTGCCTGCTGCACCGGCATCCTATCCGGCCACCAGTTATGTCCCAGTTGCTCCTCTTCCAATCTAACTCTCTGCTGATGGCCTGGAAAAGCAGTGGAAGATGACACAAGCACATGGGCCCCTGTACCCATGAGGAAAACCAGAGGAAGCTCACTTCTCCTGGCTTCAGATCAGCTCAGCTCCAGCTGTTGCAACCATCTGGGGAGTGAACTAGCAGATGGAAAAATCTCTCTGGGGCCCGCACTGTGGCATAGCAGGTAAGGCCGCCTCCCAAAGTACTGGCATTGCACATAGGTGCTGGTTAGAGTCCCAGTTGCTCTGCTTCCGATCCAGCTCTCTGTTATGGTCTGGGAAAGCAGAGGATGGCCCAAGTCCTTGGACCCCTGCATCCACGTGGGAGACCTGGAAGAAGCTCCTGACTCCTGGCTTTGGATCGGCGCAGCTCCAGCCGTTGCAGCCAATTGGGGAGTGAACCAGCAAATGGAAGATCTCTCTCTCTCTCTGCCTCTCCTCCTCTCTCTGCATAACTCTGACTTTATTTAAAAAAAAAAAAAAAAAAAAAAAAGGGCAGAAGAAGAAGAAAATCTCTGTCTCCTAACTCTGCCTCTCAAATAAATAAATAATTAAAAAAAACTTATTTAGTTAACCAAAACTAGAGTACAAAATGAGCAATCTTCAATTCTAGTTACTCATATATGTTTAGCATTTTTTACATTACATGTAGTAATCATTTGACTTATTCTATTTAAAAAAAAAGCAGCTCTTATTCTACGCATTCTTCAAATTGTGTATATATTTAATCTCAAAAAGTATAAATGTGATTTCTTTGGATGTCTAAAGTGAAAAAACTACACTGGCGAAAATAAGCTTGAAATAAATGTGATAAATATTTCAGTTATTAAGTACACAGATATTATCACATCATCAGTATTTCAGATTGTACATTAACTGTTCCAGAAAATATTTTCTCAAATGTTCTAATTCAGTCTCTTACATCTGAGTTAGAGGCAAGACCCAGTAATAAGATACAATGTAGATATTAAAATAGACCAAAGTTCTGTTGATCTCCATATTTAAATTTGAATACATTTCATTCTAACATAATAGGATGGAAATAGTATTCTTTGTAAGAAACCTGTAGAGATTGGCCAGCGCCGCAGCTCACTTGGCTAATCCTCCGCCTGCGGCGCTGGCACTCCAGGTTCTAGTCCCAGTTGGGGCACCGGATTTTGTCCCGGTGTCTCTTCCAGTCCAGCTCTCTGCTGTGGCCTGGGAAGGCAGTGGAGGATGGCCCAAGTGCTTGGGACCTGCACCCGCATAGGAGACCAGGAGAAGCACCTGGCTCCTAGCTTCGGATCGGCACAGCACACCGGCCATAGCAGCCATTTGGGGGGTGAACCAACGGAAGGAAGACCTTTTTCTCTGTCTCTCTCTCTCACTGCCTATATCTGCCTGTCAAAAAAAAAAAAAAATTAAAAAAAAAAGAAACCTGTAGGGACAGCCATGTGGCCTAGCAGTTAAGAAGCAGCTTGGGATGTCCACGTCTCACATCACTGTGCCTGGGTTCCAGCCCTGGCTCTGCTCCCAATTTCAGCAGGTGACGGTTCAAGTAGATGGGTCCCTGCCACCCACAAGGGAGATCTGGATTACATTCCCAGCTCTCGGTGTCAGCCAAGCCAAGACTTGGCCAATGTGGGCATCTGTGGAATGAGCCCACGGATGGGAACTATGTGTGTCTGTTTCTCTGCCTTTCAAATAGAAACAAGTAATTTTAAAAAAGAAGAAAAGAAACAAGTACACTGGAGGGACTGGCAACTTCTCATTTTATTGGCTGCCTCTTTTTTTTTTACAGTAGGCTCAAAAAAAGACATAGGAAAAAAATTTTAAATCTATATAGAAGAATAAATTAAAACTTAAGAAAATGCCACATTATCTTAATTTCTTATAAGAAATGAGAATCACTGCTAATGATTCTCAACTGGGAATGATCCTGCCATAAAGGGGACATGTGGCCTTGTCTGGAGACATTGTTGGCTGCCACAAAAATGTGGGAGGGAGTTGCTGTTGGCACGTGGTGGGCAGAGGCCAGAGATGCAGCTAAACATCTTACAGTGCACAGGACAGCCTCCAGCCTCCTCAACAACAAAAAAAACTATCCATTTGAAAATATCAACAGTGCCAGGGTAGAAAAACTCCAATATAATATGATTTTAGCAATGGTAAAATTTAATCTAGTTTATTCAATATAGTTTATAGTTTATAGTTTATTGAACCTCTGAGTTCAATAAAGGACCAAAACCTGTAAAAATAAGTTAACAGTTTTAAGAAATCATTTCCATAAAGTGCTTGGGCATTATAAAAAACAAAAGAAAGAAAATGTTATACATAACAAAAATCGTCCATAAACAGCATGCACAAACCTATCTATTGGAGTTTAGGATACCTTTATAATAAAGCTGTATAATCTGGGACAAATAAAATATGAGCCTCCAGAGATACCAATAAGTTCTTAATTCTTAACAATAATGAAAAAAATAATAATACAATCATTATTACTTAACAGGATCAACAGTCCTGGATTATATTCTCAAATCTACTACCGGTTACATTAAGTTTTAGAAATGATGAATGTTTTAATCACATGATGAGTGTAAGGATTAAATAAGATGGCAATTATAAGCCGCCCAACAAATTCCAAAGCATGAATGATTATATTAATATTCTTGATTTGGAGGGATCCGTATAGAATTTATATCCTTCAAATATCTGTGCAATTACACCCATAGAGGCAATACAGTGTCATTAAAAAAAAAAAAAAAAAGTTTTGCATTCAGAAGACCTAGGTTTGAAGCACAAGCATTTCCCTGATTAGGTCCATAAAACCTTGGGCATAATGATTACATTAGCAACCTACATCTCAGTTTCCTCATGTAAAATGGAAACAGCTAATACTAATTCATCTCCAGGTTACTTTATTATAAGGATTAAATGAAATGTTAAAAATAAAACATAGCCGGCGCCGCAGCTCAATAGGCTAATCCTCCGCCTACGGCGCCGGCACCCTGGGTTCAAGTCCCGGTCAGGGCGCCAGATTCTGTCCCGGTTGCCCCTCTTCTAGGCCAGCTCTCTGCTGTGGCCAGGAGTGCAGTGGAGGATGGCCCAAGTGCACCCAGGATGGCTCTGCACCGGCATGGGAGACCAGGAGGTAGCACCTGGTTCCTGGCTTCCGATCAGCGCGGTGTGCCAGCAGCAGCGCACCGGCCGCGGCGGCCATTGGACGGTGAACCAACAGCAAAAAGGAAGACCTTTCTCTCTGTCTCTCTCTCTCACTGTCCACTCTGCCTGTAAAAAAAAAAAAAACACCACAGTATATATAAATCCATTAAGTTATTGTTAGGACATAGCCTGTTTGAATCTAATACAATAAAAACATGACAAACTGGTCAGCTGAAGGTAATAACAACTATAACGAATCAAAAGCTCAATAGAATTAGGATGAAATGAAACCACAGGAAACTTCTGGGAGTGTAGGCCAATGGGGTGAGAGACAAAGTCACAAGATATTAGTATATAGATAGCACTGGGCCACTGGTTATAAACAAAATGAAATAAACTGTGCCCTGGAGATCTAAGTATTAAGAAATAGAGGAGTATGAAGTCTAACATTAAAACTGAATTTGATTCCTCTCTGACTCACTGCAAAATACTGACAAATATCTCTAGAATGGGTTCATTTTTTTTAAACTTTTATTTAATGAATATAGATTTCCAAAGTACAGCTTATGGATTACATTGGCTCCCCCCACCCCGCCAATGACTTCCCTCCCACCCGCAACCCTCCCCTTTCCCGCTCTCTCTCCCCTTCCATTCTTATCAAGATTCATTTTCAATTTTCTTTATATACAGAAGATCAGTTTAGTATACATTAAGTAAAGATTTCAACAGTTTGCACAGAATGGGTTCATTTGACCCTATTCAAACACAAAGACTCTTTCTTTTCCCTGCTAATCAAAACAGACTACTTTTGTCCAGGTACGGAGACAGTTTCGCAGGCAGTTATCCTATAAGCAAAAGTAGGAAACAAAAGGAATGTTATCATGCCCCTTCTGAATCTAAGTGATTTTAGATTTACTGCCAAGGAGTGTGTTAAGTCTTTGGATTCCTTGGAGAATGGGGGAATATACCGTATTTTGGTAAATTTTCCTGAGTCACTATTGGACTAGCAAGTAATTGGCCTCAAAGAGCTATAAATCTGCCCACCAAATAGTCGCTGCCTTATTTTAAGTTACCCCAGAGCCCCTGAAAGGCCACTAGGAAACTCATATTGGAGGGGGAAAAGGCAATACTCAATTCTGTCAACACTTAGCAGTCACAGCTACTACTTGTACCACATTCATCACACATGCTCAACAATTCTATGAGGCAGTCACTATTACTGTCATCATTGTAAAGACAAGGACACTGAGGCACAAGGAAGTTGCCCAACACTGTCCAACTCCTAAGGGTAGAAGAGAGCTCTGAACCTAGGCAGCATGGCTTCTGAGTCCACTCTAATGCAGCAGGTTGTATGGCAAATACACACAGTAAGCCAGGAAACTCTCACAAAGGGTTAATAATTCTTAATTTCAACTTTGAACAGTTATCATTAATATTTAACCAACTCATTCTTTAAAATCCAACCTTCAAGTCAGCTCTTCAAAAATTTTTTCTAAGTCTTGCAGGCAGAATTCTTCACACTGCTAATTTCCAGGTTAAAAATGTCATGAAATAATCACAACAGCAAAAGGCTTTAAATAATTCAATGTCACCCATTTGCTACTAGAACTCTACTGTAAATTTTGCTAAGTATTTTATCAATAGCTTCACTAAACTGATTTTAATACCCTGTAACTACCACCACCACATATGCAAAACACTTATTTAAGTCAAATTAAAAACGTTTAGATGAGTCTTCTTGGCTATCCAATATAATTTACTAAATCACAGAACACAAGATCCATGGGCAATAACATGCAATGTTCAATGTAAACAAATTCAACATGTACAATTTAAATTGCATTATTACGTTACTTTTAAGATGCATTTCAAAGGAAAAATATGAAACTGCTGTTCTCAGCCAGTAGAGGAAACAAGATTAAAAAATTAGCACATCTGGTTTCTGTGCCTGAAGTTGAGGAACCATTAACCAACTCAATAAAATTAAATTGATTACTAAATGAGTTCAATTTCTCACATAAAGACAATCATTATAGACTGCATTAACTGATTTTCCATTCTTACCGATTATCCTTCCAAAAGAATGGGGATGGGGGCAGGGAGGCTGGACATAGACACTTCACATATATATACATTTTAAGAGTCTAAACCTTTGTAAAATGCAAGCAGCCTAGAATGGAATGCAAAGGACTAAATACAGGAGGTAAACCAGAACACTGCCTTAACCTTATCTGGAAGTATTCATTGTTATATAACTTCAGTAAATGCAAAAAACTTTTGTTATGGAAGTATATTCTCCTTCGGTTAGAAGGCATCTAGTAAGCAACCCAATTCTATCTCCTATTCAGTTATTCATTTCCCATATATTTGGGTTTCTTCACTGAATCCTCAGTGTCGGGGCACTACAAGTTGCTGTGAAATTCTAAATATCAGCATCCTATCCAGATAATGTATCCAAAAACAAATTCCCCCTTATCTGAGGCAATCCTTTCTTTCTGCAACTGTCAGCCTAGGGAACACACAGTAAGGTTGCCAAGTGCCCCAGAGACTGATGGAGAAAAGGGCTTTCCTGGAATACAAGGCATGCAGTGCTAAACCTAGAACAGTATGAAGCAACCTGGAGCAGTTGATTCAACTATCACAAACTCAATACCTTGGAAAGCCAGGCCATGGCATCATCTACAAGCTACAAAGCACCTGCCCCATTCTAAAGGACAATGTTTATTGCCATCTTTGATGTAGAGAAGTTCTGAACTTGTCTCATCCCAAAGCTATACTGGCTTAATATTTCATCCATTTGTCTGACACTTATCATAAAATACCACATGCCTGAATTACCGTAATGTGTCAGGTGTCATAAATCCAAGCAGTTTCAGACAGCTGAATTAACAGGATCCCTAAACTTCAGTTTTATAATTAACTAATAATAATCAATTGAACGACACTCAAATATTTCTCCACCAACCTACTGGTTTATGCTCTCAGGAGGCCTGTATCAAAACTGCCAAGAAGTAGGGCAATCAATCACAGGTTCTCTGGCTGTGCTCTAAAGTTATGATCCAGTTTTTCACTGAGAAGGTAATGATGGAAGAATGGTCCCTGTGACACCAACTTTCTCCTCTGCCAATTATGTACTTACACTCTCAATCCCTCTGGCCAACTCAAAAAGAAGTGCCAAAGATTCACCAGCAGCTATTCTCATGTTTACATCATCACAAGAGAGGAGGCTTGGAAGTTTATGAAAATGCCTAGAAAAGAGTCAGTCGTTACTATATGAATGCAAACCAATTAGCCCAGCTAACCACAGCTTTTATAAAATGTGAAACTGAAGATACATACATTTCAAGCTTTTTCTTAACCTCGCTGATTGGGCATATGGTCAGTAACAATGTCCAGGCAAGCAGCGAGCTGATATGAAGCACTGTGCTAGGGGTGCTGCAGAGAACATTAGTGTCTTTCTCTTTGATATAGGACTTGGTGAAGATACTTTCCAAACATTCTAGAGTTGAATACAGCTCCTAATGCATAAGAATATGAAGTAAGACAATCATCCTAAATCAGAAACAACAACAGATAACTGGCATCAAAGGTCTCTACTTACAGTAATGTCATCTGTGGCAATAAAACAGCAAACACCAAAGCAAGTCGCACACTGAAAAAAAAAAATCACAGAACACATACAGACATTACTGTTTGCAATTTTATTTCTTATTAATTCTAAATCTTCCTGCCTTTATAACTGAATATGAAGATTTTCCTATCTACATAGCTGTATTAGGGCCCAAGTACAGAATTTAGCAGGGCAGAGTAGTCAATTTCAACTCCACCTGTGCTACAAAACTCACAACATAACTTTAGGAAAATGATTCTGTTCTTCTCAGGTCTCAAAACTAAAGGGAGAAATGCATACAAATTAAGTACCTAATTCCTAAATTATTTCAAATTACTGAATGATTTTTTTCTTAATCTATATAAAAAGCATTCTGAAAGGGTAAATTAACTATTCCCTGTTTGCTTTTGTATATAGTAGCAGTGCCTATCAGGTCATTTCAAACTTCAATTCAATGAAACAAACATTTGAGAGGAAGAAGCTCACTCACTCTTTGCAAAATAAATCATCTTTAGATCTTTAAAACATACTAAGATTTCTTTGATTTTTAAGATTTTAAAACTATATTTACTGGATTTCATAAAGACTATTATGAAAATTTTTAAAAGAAAGTGGCTTCAAAAAGCAAGCAAATAGAAGCAAAATCTCATAAAATTTAAATTACTATAAAATAAAAAATGTACAAAACAATTAGAATCTGAAAGCTTTCTCAAATCCCAAAACTAGATAAGTATTTCACAAGTCAGTTTAGCTATCTCCCTAAATCTACTCATGTAAAAACAGCATTCAACATTTTCATAAGGACTTACAGGCCACAGAAGCAAAAATAAAAATAAGCAAACAAGAAAAAATAACATCCAAATAACCATTAAGAACCTAGGTCCTTTCTTTAAGTTCTAAGCAAAATTATTCTATATAATCATCTTCCATAACCCCATGAAATATTTTATATCAGTATATGATCTTCAATTATGTAAAAGTTTGCTCCATAATGGAATGCATTTCTAAATTTTCATTTACTTATTTTCATTTTTTTATTCCAAAGACAGAGAGAAAGAGAGTGATCTTCTATTTCTATATTCCCCAAATGACCACAACAGCCAAGGCTTGGTTAGGCTGAAGCCAAGAGCCTGGAACTCTGTCCAAGTTTTCCTTAAGGGTGTCAGGGACTCAAGTACCTGAGTCATCATTTGCTATCTCCCAAGACACACATTAGCAGGAAGAGGGACCAGAAGCAAAGTAGGCAGAACTCAAACCTGGCACTCTGATATGGGATATGGGTGTCCCAACTGCTGATTTAAGCTACTGCTTCAAAATGCCCTCCCCCAGAAAATTTAGGAAAACAACTATCATAGTAAGTTTACTTACTAAAAGACAAATGAGAATAAAATATCAGCAAAAACCTATGTGGCTGGATGATAGACCTAGATAAATCTGTAAATTTAAGTCTTATACTTACAGTTTGTCTTGCCTGGATACTAGCTGTCCCATCACAAATTATTTTCTTTAGGATTGGTCCAAGAGTTTTTAAAATCTCTTCACTTTCAATTCCAGGGCCCAGCTGAATACAAAGAACAGATGCTAATGCTGCAGCTGCACGTTGCTCGTCACTCTTCCCTACAAAAAATGACAAGATGCAACCACGATGAATTATTTTCAGTAAACTGGTTGAGACAGAAATTTCCCAATTTTTTTCAATTATAAAACAGCATCTACCAAACCCTAATTATGCAATGGGTTTTGACATAATCTACAAATTAGTGAAGTTAAAAGTGCAACTTTTTAAAAATTGTATTTATTTGAAAGAGACAGGTAGAGAGAGATATCTTCCATCCACTGGTTCACTCCCCAAATGACCTCAATGCCCATAGCCAACCTGATTCAAAGCCAGAAGCTTCTTCTGGGTCTCCCACATAGATGCAGGGGCCCAAGCACTTGTGCAATCTCTTGCTGCTTTCCCAGACACATAAGCAGGGAGCTGAAGTGGAAGTGGAGCAGCCAGGACTTAAATTGATGCCCATATGGGATGCCGTCACTGCAGACCATGGTTTTAAGCAGCGCCAGTCCCAAGAAGCGCAATTTTAGAAAGAGATCTCACTCAAATCCTAGATGACTTACTAGCCGAGATCCTCAGTTAAGCACCTTTATTCTCTAAACAGATTTCCTCATCTGTAGGGTAGACTAATCTCTATGGATGGGAGTACTGCAATGTTTCAACAAAATACAAGGGTACTTCAAAAAGCTTATAGAAAAATTATATTTATTTTAAGTGTGAGCTTATTTTGGTGCAAATACAGATATTCCACATTATGAAAAATAAATTTTGCATCAAAATAAACTCATATTTTAATTCTATTTTTCCATGAATGTTTTGAAGTACCCTTGTGTTTCATTTTGATTTCTGTGTTCCAACTTCTTAATGTCCTCATACAAATAGTGCTCAGGTAGCCCTTCAATGAATTTTCACAAGCATTTCAGATGTACATAGCCCAGGAGGTAATCCTTCACAGCTTCCCTCTTAATAAGGGACTAAAAATTAAGGATTATTTTCAAACTGAAAATACACCTGTATAAATTAACCTTTTTGAGACTTGTATACACCAAAGGGTTTGGGCAAACATAACCTAAATCGTTATCTGATAAACTAAAAATTTACAAAACATGCAGACTTCAATGGAATTTTTAAAGGTCACCTTGTCTAACTGCCATTAAGGGAGACTGCTTTACTGTAAAACATCTTCTAAAAAGTCACTGTAGGGCTGGGCATTTTATTTTTTGTTTTGTTTTGTTTTTTGCTTTCTTTTGTTTTTAAAGATTTATCTACTTATTTGAGAGGCAGAGTTAGAGAGAGAGAGACAGAGAGAGATATTCCATCTATGGTTCACTCCCAAAATGGACACAGCAGCCAGAGCTGGGCCAATCCAAAGCCAGGAGCCAGCAGCTAGGAGCCTCCTTCAGGTCTCCCACAAAAGTAAAAGGGCCACTGCTCTCCCAGGCCATCAGCAGACAACTGGATCAGAAGAGGAGCAGCCAGGACATGAACCAGTGCCCATATCGAATGCTGGCACTGCAGTGGAGGCTTAATCTACTACACCACAGCGCCAGCTCCAAGGGTGGGCATTTTGGTGCAGCAGTTAGGATGCTGTCTGGAATATTCACATCCCTGAGTGCCTGATTAAGAGTCCCAAATCCAGTCCTAGTCCCAGATCCAATTCCTGCTCCCTGTTAGTGCCCACCCCCAACCACTGTGCACATATTTGGGGATTGAACAGACAGATGGGAGATCTCTAGCTAGTCTTCTCTTTCAAATAAAAGAATTTATTTATTTATTTATTTGAAACGCAGAGTTCCAGAGAGAAAAGGAAAGACAAAGAAAGAGATCTTCCATCTGCTGGCTCTCTCTCCAGATGGCCTCAACAACCAGGACTGGGTCAGGCCAAAGCCAGGAACCAGGAGCTTCATCTGGGTCTCCCACATGGATGCAGGAGCCAAAGGACTTGGGCCATTTTCCACTGCTTTCCAAGGCAAATTAGCAGTCAGCTAGATTGGAAGGGGAGCAGCTGAGACTCAAACCAGTGCCCATTAGGGGATGCTGGCACTGCAGGCTGTGGCTTAATCCACTGTGCCACAGCACTGGCCCCCCACATAAAATAATTTTAAAAGCCACTGTGGTACCTAAAAAATTTAGCTCTGCTGAGGCCGGCGCCGCGGCTCACTAGGCTAATCCTCCGCCTAGCGGCGCCGGCACACCGGGTTCTAGTCCCGGTCGGGGCGCCGGATTCTGTCCCGGTTGCCCCTCTTCCAGGCCAGCCCTCTGCTGTGGCCAGGGAGTGCAGTGGAGGATGGCCCAGGTGCTTGGGCCCTGCACCCCATGGGAGACCAGGAAAAGCACCAGGCTCCTGGCTCCTGCCATCGGATCAGCGCGGTGCGCCGGCCGCAGCGCGCCAGCCGCGGCGGCCATTGGAGGGTGAACCAACGGCAAAAGGAAGACCTTTCTCTCTGTCTCTCTCTCTCTCACTGTCCACTCTGCCTGTCAAAAAAAAAAAAAAAAAAAATTTAGCTCTGCTATAAACTTCGACCCATCTCATTTCTCTGAAGCCCTCACTTGTTCTGTACAAAGAGAGGGGTAGGTTTGACCAAGGGTTTCAGTCATAACAAAGTTTCCATCCACATTGAGGAAAAATGAGAAAAACAAGCATATAAAGTTCATTCAATTTAAAGAACCAAGCATGCTTCCACATCTTTGGTGCTAAAGATATTTTCTTAATAATGATGATAGTACAAAGTAATGATTTTCATAACATCCTACTGAAAAATTAAGAAAACTGGCAGATGTGTATCCTCTTAAGTTTCTTAGTTCCTAAAACTGAAAAGTTGGGTAACACTATATTTTATCTTTAAGGTCTCTCTTTATTCTTTAAAGCTCTAGCATTATAACAACAGGGAATTCTAGAATCTCCACTACAAAATGTAGCATTCAAATATTCCAAGGGCCATCCTGAAAATGGAGTCACAGGTACAGTCAGTGTTTCCAATAACTGCAAGGGAAAATGAGTGAGGTGATTACAAAACTCCCAACTTTAGAAAAGTTAAGTAGCATGGCTTTTTTAAAAATTTTTTTAAAAAGATTTTACTTATTTATTTGAGAGGTACAGCTACAGAGAGTGAGAGGAAGAGACAGAGAGAAAGGTCTTCCCTCCGCTGGTTCACTCCCCAAATGGCCTTAGGGGCTGGAGCTGCACCGATCAGGAGCCAGGAGCTTCCTCCCAATCTCCCATGCAGGCACAGGGGCCCAAGCGTTTGGGCCATCTTCCACCACCTTCCCAGGCCACAGCAGAGAGCCAGACTGGAAGAGGAGCAGCCAGGACTAGAACCAGCACTCACATGGGATGCTGGCAAAACAGACGGAGGATTAACCTACTGTGCCATGGCACTGGCCCCAGCTTTTTAAATAATAGTTTATACTGACGTCCAAGATACACTTAAAGCTTGGTTCATATAAGAAGAGAAAGGCAGATGCCTTTTCTGATAGAAAAAGAGATGATAAGTCACCCCAATTCTTCCCAGTTTCAACCTGTTGCTACATAAACACAGTTTCTGCTGAGTCTCACTCTAAGTTACAACAACCATAGTATATTCCTTGACTGTTACAGAGTCATAAAAAACATATTAGTGTTACAGTACCATTAACAAATGTGACTACAAAGAAGGCAGTAAATAACTTATTAGTTGTGTAACTGAACTCAAAACCAAAGGCATTACCTTTTTTCAAACAGCGTTCAATGCTATCAGTTAAAGTCATTCTTCTTTCCAGAATAAATTCACAAAGCATTTTTGAAGCCAGGGCATTTTTAATACCTTCAAGAGCTGCTTGCCTTGTCTTTGCACTGTTTACAACAAAATGTAAAAAGGAAGAAAAAAGATCCAGTTGGAGTGCACCATCAGACTATGACTCTTAAAAGCATCACTTATTTCCTCCTAAACGTTTTCCATCATAAATTGCTTTTAAATTTTCAAGCTTTAACCATTTCTCAATATTATTTTTCACCCACAACTCACCTTATCACACAAAAGGTTTTCAAAGTGCTTATATTATAGTGTTTTTGCTCATTAGTTTGAGAGACACAACTTTAAATGGCTACATAATATTTTATAGTTTCAGTATACAAGATATGTTCTACATTATATATTTATGTATGTTCACGTTGTTTAACTCTATAAAAATCAAAATTCATGTTGGCATCTCCTGGGCTTTTTAATTCCCTTTGTTTAATTCAGGTGTAAAGTTACTATGAAGAAAAAATGTAGCTTTGACATTTTTCATGTCCATAACAAAAATGGTGAACAGTTTACAGCAAAGCTCAGTTGTCATTTCTAGTTGAAGATTAAATTTTAATTGAACAAACCTACTTTAATTATAATCAAACACTGGTATTTACATGCCATTATGTTACAACAATGACCAATCAGTCACATTACTATCTACATTAAAAGTCCAAAGGAACAAGAAACATTAAATAACCCAAAGCAAACATATCAAGCTTTGGTGAAGCACATTGCTATATCAAAAAAACAAAATTAAATAGATAAGGTTGCTAATTAGAATCATGCAGACTGGAAAACCAATATTTCCTACCTCTTATCCAGGGTTAGGTCAATTAATCCTTTCAACTTGTACTCTAAGTCTTCCTGAGATCCTTCCTCATCAAGGACTTCTGGTCCTAAGGAATAATACAAAGCAATCATTATCACTGAAGAAGGAAAAAAGCAAATATGGAACTAGTAATAGTATACTTTAGCTACAAGAACTTCTCCAGCAAAAGCACCTTTGTATCTAAAAGTGGCAAGTTGAAATTTAAAACTCATACCATCCTCAGCAAAACTGGAAGGATCACTGTAACCACTGCAATGGCTCATTGTTTCTATTGATGCATCTTCATCACTAAAAGGTTGAACATTTCGATGCTGGCCACCTGTTAGGTAGAAGATGCCAAGGTAAATGATCTTTTGACCACATATGCAAACACTTAACTTGGAAATTTAATTTACTTCAGAGAAACCCAGGACCAAAAACCCAAACTTATTTGTATTTCTATTTATTTATTTGAAACAGACAATAAAATCTTCCATCTGCTGGTTTACCCATAGATACCCACAACACTCAGGGCTGAATTAGGCTGAAGAAAGGAGCCATGAACTCCATCTGAGGCCCCCATGTGGGTGGCAATAACCCAACCATCAAGAAGCACATTATAGGCCGGCGCCGCGGCTCAATAGGCTAATCCTCCGCCTAGCACCACCGGCACACCGGGTTCTAGTCCCGGTCAGGGTGCCGGATTCTGTCCCGGTTGCCCCTCTTCCAGCCCAGCTCTCTGCTGTGTCCCGGGAAGGCAGTGGAGGATGGCCCAAGTGCTTGGGCCCTGCACCCGCATGGGAGACCAGGAGAAGCACCTGGCTCCTGGCTTCGGATAAGCGCGATGCGCCGGCCGCAGCGGCCATTGGAGGGTGAACCAACGGCAAAGGAAGACCTTTCTCTCTGTCTCTCTCTCTCTCTCACTGTCCACTATGACTGTAAAAAAAAAAAAAAAAAAAAAAAAAAAGCAGCAGCACATTATAGAAGGAAGCTGGATCAGCAACAGAACTGGGGGTCTGGCTTTGTGGTGTAGCAGGTTAAGCCACCGCCTGTAACACTGGCATCATATATGGGTTCTGATTCAAATTCCAGCTGCTCTACTTCTGATCCAGCTCCCTGCTAATGAGCCTGTGAAAGTAGCAAAAGATGGCCCAAGTGCATGGGCCCCTGCTACCCACATGGGAGACCTTGAATGGAGTTCCAGGATCCCAGCTTTGGCCTGGCCCAAAGATTCTCATTCTCTCTCTCTCTGCTTTTAAATAAATAAAATAAATTTTTAAGAAAAAAATGAATAAAAATAATTTAAATAAAAGAATCAATTCTCTCTTTTGAGGTTGCCTGCAGTCATATTTGATGTGCACTATTTTTCTGCCTCTCAATAAATCTTGCTCTTCTGTTCAACACTTTAAAAAAAAGAGCAGGAACCTGAGTCAGGCATTCCAATATGGGATAGAGTGTTGCAAGTAGCATCTTAACTGCTGCAGCAAACACCCAGCCCCAAACTTATTTATTTGAATTGCAGAGCCCCAGTGTGAGAGGAAGAGTCAGAGAGCTTCCATACAATGCGGGTTCACTCCCCACATGACCACAACAGCCAGGGCTAGGCCACGCTAAAACCAGGAGATTCATCCATGTCTCCTACGTAGGTGGCAAGGGCCCAGGTACTTGGTCATCTTCTGCTGTTTTCCCAGGAGCATTAGCAGGCAGCCAGATTGGAAGTGGAGCAGCCAGGATATGAACCAGCACCTGAACAGGATGCCAGCATCACAGGTAGTGGCTTAACCCAGTACATCACAACACCGGCTACCCCAAACCTATTTTTCAAAAGAGATGAACAAAAGACATAAACTTTCCTAAAATAAGTCAATGCATCTAATATGTACTTTATAGCACCATTTACAAATTACATCAACCTCAGATATACTTATCAATCATCTAACAAGACACACCAATTTTGAGATATAAAAACTAATACATGAAAAAATTAGTATTGGGTGAGCACTATTGTGTAGTAAATTGCTCCACTTCCCATCCAGCTCCTGCTATTGGCCAGGAAAAGCAGTGGAAAATGAACCAAGTACTTGGGCCCCTGTATCCATGTGAGAGACCCAGATGAAGCTCCTGACTCCTGACTTCAGATTGGCCCAGTTCCAGTTGTTGCCATCATTTGGGGAGTGAACCAGCGGATGAAGGACCCTTCTGTCTGTAACTTTGCCAAATAAATAAATCAATAACTGCCAAACCATGATTTCAAAACCATGAAGACAAGAGAATAGATCCAGAAATAGAGTATTATGTCAGAAGTTAATGTAACACACATAAATATGGTTTCCAATGAGAATGACTGGGCTTCATAAACATTAATTGATGAATAGGTTCTCTTTATTTATTTATTTATTTTTGACAGGCAGAGTGGACAGTGACAGAGAGAGACAAGGAGAAAGGTCTTCCTTTACCATTGGCCCACCCTCCAATGGCCGCTGCAGCCGGTGCACTGCGGCCGGCGCATCGCGCTTATCCGAAGCCAGGAGCCAGGTGCTTCTCCTGGTCTCCCATGCGGGTGCAGGGCCCAAGCACTTGGGCCATCCTCCACTGCACTCCCGGGCCACAGCAGAGAGTTTGCCTGTAAGAGGAGTGACCAGGACAGAATCCGGCGCCCCGACCAGGACTAGAACCCAGTATGCCTGCGCCACAGGCGGAGGATTAGCCTAGTGAGCCGTGGCGCCAGCCTAGGTTCTCTTTTTTATACAAAGCTTTTATTTAATAAACATAATTTTCAGAAGTACAATCCCTGGATTATAGTAGTTCCTCCGCCCATACCCACCCTTCTACCCCCAAACCATCTCACCTCCTACTCCTTCTCCCATCCCATTCTTCATTAAGATTCATTTTTAATTATCTTTTTATACAGAAGATTAACTTAGCATATACTAAGTAAAGATTTCAAGATTGCACCCACACAGACACACAAAGTAAAAAGTACTGTTTGAAGACTTTGCATTAGTTTTAGCATTAATTCTCATAGTGCAACACATTAAGGACAGAGGTCCTACATGGGGAGCAAGTGCACAGTGATTCCTGTTGATTTAACAATTGACACCCTTATTTATGACATCAGTGATCACCTGAGGCTCTTTTCATGAGCTGCCAGGGCTGTGGAAGCCTCTTGAGTCCACAAACTCAGACATTATTTAGACAAGGCCATAATCAAAGTGGAAGTTCTCTCCTCCCTCCAGAGAAAGGTATCTCCAGCTTTGATGGCCCCTTCTTTCCACCAGGATCTCACAGAGATCTTTCATGTAGGTCATTTTTGCCACTGTCTTGACTTTCCATGCCTGAAATGCTCCCATGGGCTTTTTAGCCAGCTCCGAATGCCTTTAAGGGCTGATTCTGAGGCCAGAGTGCTGTTTAGGGCATTTGTCATTCTGAGTCTGCTGTGTGGCCTGCTTCCCATGTTGGATCGTTCTCTCCTTTTTAATTCTATCAATTATTATTAGCAGACATTTGGTCTTATTTATGTGATCCCTCTGACACCTAATCCTATCTTTAAGATCAGTTATGAACTTAAACTGATCACTTTAACTTAAGATGGCATTGGTACCTGCCAACTTAATGGAATTTGGAGTTCCATGGCAAGTTTTTAGCTTTATCCTTAGGGGTAAGTCTGAGGGAATGTGTGTGGAACTGTACATCTACTCCCTCTCTTATTCCCACTCTTAATTTTAACAGGGATCAATTTTCAATTGGATTTAAACACCTAGTAATAATTTGGTGTTAAGTAAAAGGTTCAACCAATGGTATTAAGTAGAAAAAGAAAATACTAAAAAGGAATAAAATAGTAAGCTGTTCCTTGACAGTCAGGACAAGGGCTGATCAAGTCATTGCTTCTCAGAGTGTCAGTTTCACTTCTACAGATTTCCTTTTAGGTGCTCTGTTAGTTGTCACAGATCAAGGAGAACATATATTTGTCCCTTTAGGACTGGCTTATTTCACTCAGCATAATATTTCCCAGATGGTGAGTAGGTTCTTAAGCAACTCATGTTAAGGGAAATTAGGGGCCGGTGCCGTGGCTCAGTAGGTTAATCCTCTGCCTTGTGGCGCCGGCATACCAGGTTCTAGTCCCGGTCGGGGCTCCGGATTCTATCCTGGTTGCCCCTCTTCCAGGCCAGCTCTCTGCTATGGCCCGGGAGTGCAGTGGAGGATGGCCCAGGTCCTTGGGCCCTGCACCCGCATGGGAGACCAGGAAGAAGCACCTGGCTCCTGGCTTCGGATCAGTGCAATGCGCCGGCCACAGCAGCCACTGGGGAGGTGAACCAACGGCAAAAGGAAGACCTTTCTCTCTGTCTCTCTCTCTCACTGTCCACTCTGCCTGTCAAAAAAAAAAAGGAAATTAGGGAGTTAAAGAGAAGTAATTTTAAAGATAAGTTGAACTAAGAGAAGGAAAAAAAGGCTGAAAACTGAAGCTTTGTATTGATATGGCATCAAAGCCTGTCACAAAGATTGCAACATAATCAAGAGTTTACTATAACGGCAATCTCCTTTTTTAAAATTAGAATCTCTCGGGGCTGGAGCTCAAGGTAAGTCTACTGCCTGCAGTGCCCGCAACCCATATGGGCACTGGTCTGAGTCCCGGCTGCTCCACTTCCGATCCAGCTCTCCACTATGGCCTGGGAAAGCAGAAGATGGTCCAAGTCTTCAGGCCCCTGCACATTAGTGGGAGGCCTGGAAGTTACTGGCTTTGGATCATTGTAGTTCCAGCCATCTGGGGATTGGGGATGGAAGACACCTCTCTCTCCCTCTCTCAGCCTCTGCCTCTCTCTAACTCTGCCTTTCAAATAAATAAATTTTTTTTTCTCTTGTTTTGGGACAGGCAGAGTGGACAGTGAGAGAGACAGGGAGAAAGGTCTTCCTTTACCATTTGGCCCACCCTCCAATGGCCGCTGTGGCCGGTGCACCGCGCTGATCCGAAGCCAGGAACAAGGTGCTTCTCCTGGTCTCCCATGCGGGTGCAGGGCCCAAGGACTTGGCCATCCTCCACTGCACTCCCGGGCCACAGCAGAGAGCTGGACTGGAAGAGGAACAACTGGAACTAGAACCCGGTGTGCCCGGGCCACAGCAGAGAGCTGGCCTGGAAGAGGGGCAACCGGGACAGAATCCAGTACCCCGACCAGGACTAGAACCCAGTGTGCCGGCACCGCAGGCACTACAGACGGAGGATTAGCCTATTGAGCCTGGGCACTGGCATAAATAAATCTTTTAAAAAAGCTCTAGAATCTCTCCAGTTCATTGACTGAAGAAATAAATGCAGAAGCACTTAGGGATTCTTATGTTAATAAGGCAACTGCCCAGTCATGAATTACATCAAGCAATGAATTAAGTATGTCTGCCCCAAAAGTAACCTCAAAGCCACCTCATTTACCCCAGAGCCCAATTTCTCTTCCCAGTAAAAGCAAAGATCACACCAAATAGTAGATCCCTATGTTCAAAAATGTAATGTTATTTCTACCTTAAGTTTTTTTTTTTTTTAAGTCTGTTACTTTGGGGTTAATTTTTTTAATGGGGGTTGTCGTTTTTTTGTTTTTGTTTTTTTTAAGTCAAAACAGTACTTAGCATAGCAAGTGGCCTTGAAACCTGCTTGCCCATTAGGAAAAAGTATCAATCAAAGCAGTAAAGCATTAAGAAAAAGTAATGATGCCAAGTACACAAAGACCTATGACATCATAGTCTATTTCTGGATCTTTCTTCATTCATTGCCTTCATGATTTGAAGTCATGGCAATAGTTGAGTGTCTATCTGACTACTTCCAGTATCTTCACTGACAAGTCAACTCACATTTTTTATTTTTTATGGTTAGCCTATCTTGGGGTATTCCTTTGCATTTTTCTTACTCAGGTCTCTTCTAACTAATCAGCATCAGTGATGTCTTCTTAAGACTCAAAAGGAGAAGGGGTTTTAAATAAAAGATCCCTACATGAATGCCTAACAGCTAGATCAAACCCACCTTGTGATTCTAGGTACCACTAAAGAGGTGGCACTCTAGAACCTTATTTGTAGAAGACTTACTAACAAGATGTTGCTCTTTCTTAAAAATACTCTTTTCAGAGGTAGAGCTGTGGCACAGTGGGCTAAAGCCACCACTTCCTATGGCAACATCCCATATCAGAGCACAAGTTCAAGTCCCAGCTACTCCGCTTCAGACCCAGCTCCCTGTTAATGTGCCTGGAAGGCAGCAGGTGATGGCCCAAATCTTGGGCCCCTGCCACCCACGTGGGAAACTAGGATGGAGTTCCTGACTCTTGGCTTCAGCCTGGACCAAACCTGGCCATTGTGGCCATTTGGGGAGTAAGCCAAGAGACAGAAAGAAGAACTCTGTGTGTGGGGTGTGTGTGTGTGTGTGTCACTCTGCCTTTCAAATAAATAAACCTTATAAAAAAATTCTTTTCTAATTACAGTTAAGTACTGTGACACAGGTATGCATACCTAATAAGAGCTCAGTTTTATTAGCTTCCTAGAACTGTGTACTAACATTAAAAATAAAGGCTTTAATTATAAAACCCACTAAAGTGATAAAGTTGGTTATCTCAAGGCCTCATCCCTTCCTGGAGTAGCTGCTTAAGCGCAGCAGATTAAAACCTCCGGACATCCGCATCCCACACTGGAGTGCCAGCTACAGAGTTCCAACTACTCTACTTCCCAACCAGTTCCCTGCTAATGTGCCTGAGAGGCAGCTCAAGTACTTGGGCTCCTACTACCCACAGGCAGTTCCTGGCCCCTGGCTTCAGCACAGCCCAGCCCAGGATGCTGTGGGCATTTGGGGAGTGTCTCAAAAGACAGAAGATCTATCTTTCTGTCTGTGCCTTTAAATAAGTAAATAAATCTTTTAAAAAATAATTCCTCCCAGATGTCATTAATAATAAGGATTTGTAGTTAAGTTTATGACAACTTTCCATCTCTTCTCAATTATTATTTATTGAATACACAAAACATTCAACGTGTGACCACTTTAAAATTACAAAGTCAACCTCATGACCAGATTTTGCAATTACAAGAGGCAATTGGCTTAAAGCTCCTATAATGTTCAAAGTATGTATACTTTTATAAGCTAATCAAAGAACCCTTTCCCATTTCCTTATGCATGCTAAAAGTCGGTGTTTAAGTGCTTGTCCCATAGATGCTAAAATTCATATATACTAATATATATATATATATATATATATATATATATATATAAAACTAACAGAAAAGACAGTAGCAATAAGCTTAAGAAAGGTCACAAAAAACCCGTGAGACAAAATGTGGTATCAAGTCGGTATATAGAGCCGCAGGAGGCCAACACTGTAAATATTGTACAACGAAGGAAGGCATTTTGCCAGAAAGCTTCAGAAGGGATATATATGTCTGTGATTCATAGAGGTCATTACTGACATCATTACCATTTTCAAAACGACTTTAGCTTCCTGCTTCCCCATTGCCTCTGCTTTATCAACAAAAGGCAAACTTATGAAGAACACAGTCAATAAGGATCTAGATGGAATTCAAATGTTTAGTTCAGGTGAGAAAATACTGAAACACAGAGGTAAGAAGTATCCTCAATTCACACAGATGTCACAACTTCTCACCTTGCTATAAACAACGAATCTCAAGAACACGCACAGCATGTACGAAATTACAGTTCTAATAATCCATTCCCAATGTTAAATGTTTATCACATGATCACAAGTTTTTGTGCTGCCATAAAACTTATAGGAAAGCTTTCTAAACACCTGTTCCCAATCATCTTTGTCACCGTAACTGGCATACTTTTCCAATGAACAAAGGAATATCACTCTGAGTGTCAAAAAGTGGTATCTGTGTCAACAAATACCTAAAGGCTAACGTTAGCTCCAATGTTACTATGTCTGAAAATATGATACTACTTAACACCATAATCCCAACAAAAGAAACTACTCAGAAATGACTTTACGAAGTTTAATACTGGATTTGAGTTTGGTATGGTGTCTCCGGGGGGAGACTTTGTAACTGTTGGCTAGTTACACACACTGATTCAGTTAAGCACTTACCCATTCAGCAAAAGCTTCAGTTTTGCAGTCAGGACACAAAACCCCTAAACTTTCAGCCAACTGCAACGTAAGCTCCTCACCACCCCTGCTACTCGGGCCTCACGGCAAAAAACGCACAGGATGCAACACAAAGGAGAACGTGTTTTTTGCCCCCGGGTCGCCTGGGCTGCCGGCAGTAGGGCTGGGGACTAAAGCAGGTGCCAGCTAGGGACGTGAGCTCAGCCTGCAGTGGGGCGATGTTCCCCAGCCTCCGACTCCTCGGCCTGAACAAGTGAACACGCGGGACGCGCCAAGTAGCAGCGGGATGCGAAGCCACTCGAATGCCTCTGCGTCATCCTCGTCCCTGAGCCCAGGCCGCGCGTGACGCGAGAGCCCATCCAAACACGCCGGACGTTTGGCATTCCCGAGAACTCCATGTTGGAGCCTGGGGATTGCAGGCGGCCAGTGACAGCATGGGCGCCTCGTCGGGCCTCAGAGCGCCCTACCCCTGGTCAGCGGGAGCTCGCCACAGCCGTTAAGAGCAGCTCCTGTCCCGCCAGCTCCCGGTCACCCCACACACTGCCAAGCCCACGGACCCATTCCTCCCCGCCCCCACAGCCGGTGTCCAGTAGTCCGGTTCGCAAGCCAGGCTCAAATCGCGCGAGACCGGGGCCCTAGGCACGCTGGGAATCGTAGTTCGTCAGCCAAACCACCCGCCCTGGACTCGCAACGTCTGAAGGAAAGAAAGAACTACAACTCCCACCGCGCCCTCGGTTAGGCCAGCCCAGCCGGCAACCGGGATGCCGGCGTCGGGGATATCATTCCTTACCTGCCGTTGCCGCCGTCGCCGCAGCTGCCCCTGAGCCGCCGCCGCCACCACTGCCACCGCGGTGGGGAGCGTTCCGCTTCTTGTTCTTCGGCATCGTCGGACGCCCGGTGCCGCCTAAACTCGGAAATTAGCGAGGATCAGCCGATGGAGCTGCACTTTTTACTCGTGCGTCTGTGCGGCGGGCGGCTGAGAGGCGAGTCTTCGGCTAACAAGAGAGGCGAGAAGCGGCGCGGGTAAGAGTGGGCGGTGGCGGCAGCAGAAATCCCCGTGAAGAGCTGTGATCGGAAACGATACATGTTTCTCTCTAGCGCGGGAGCTAAGGCGGGGCGGGCGAGGCCTCCACGCCTTAAGTAGCAAGACCGCCGACCGTCGTCACCATGTGTAGGCGGGACTCGAATTCTCACTAGCCAATCCCCGCAGATCTCCCCACTAGCGTCCACTCCGGGAGGCGCCTGGGACCGGACTACGACTCCCATTGCCGCCAGTCTCCCTCCAGCGCTCGGGAACGCGCCACCGATGCCGCGCATGATTCTGGGAAATGTAGTCTTTATGGAGTTGGGGGGGTCTGCGCTCCAGCTCCTCCCAGCTCCCCTCTGAGGGCTCCTCTGCCCACTCGCTTCTCCTGTCGTGACCCAGCCCCCTGCCTCGGCGCGGCCTCCGCCTTGGGATTGACTGCGTTAGTCACCAGTGATGAGCCATAGGCCGGGTATGCGGGAGGCCCAGAGCCAGCTTCCAACAGGGAGCCACGCAGTCCTCGCGACTCCTCTTTCCTTCGGCGGGTCGCGTTCTTTTTCACCGTTCCCCTACTTCCGTGCGGCCTGTAAGGAACTATATAATCCATGCTTGGGATCTCCGCGGTTTCAGCGGTTGAATTAGTTCAGCGATCCTCCCTCCTGTAGTTCAGGGCTACGTGCCGCCTGTGCTGCACTCCCCAGAATGCGTGCTTGTATCTCGCTAGTGTGTTTCTGTCTAGCTCGCGTTCCAGGCTGCACAGATCTGGCGAACCAGTGTCCGAGGTTCTACACCAGAACGTATCGTTTGACAATTCTACCTGCCAGTGGGGAGGTCAATTTTGGATGAAGCAAACATGAGCTTTAAATATCAGTAATTGGCAGTGGGATTTTTTGTTTTGTTTTTTGTTGCTCAAGGTGCTCCTGAGCAATAACAACATCTAAATACATTACAACACTTGTTATGTATTTAGAGCCTATTATTAGGTTCATATATTAACCATGTTTATGACAGACCAAACTCACCTACTCACCTCTTAGGAGGTGACTCATCCACTACACCACCTCTTACCTGGGCTCTATTCTCTTAGGTCCCACTTGCATCGTAACCCAGCATCTCTAAAATAAATAATATTTCCCTCTTCCTGTCTTCCTTTTGTGTGTTTACTGTGCTATTATTATCCTCCCATGTGTTCACATTCCAAGACTCATAACATTGTTCCTGTTTCTCTCTCTTTAGTGCCCCCTCCAAAAAAAAGTTAGCTCTAAAACAAAACTCTTAAATGCATACCCTGTTCCCCACTCACAAATGGCTTCAGTCCATGCCCGCACATTTTAAGGAATCTCCCAGTCTTTATCCATGTTTTATGCCACAATAATGCTGCTGGGGCTGGCGCCGTGCGTCCCATATGGGCACCAAGTTCTAGTCCCGGCTTCCCCTCTTCCAGTCCAGCTCTCTCTGTGGCCCGGGAGGGCAGTGGAGGATGGCCCAAGTGCTTGGGCCCCTGCACCGTGGCTTCGGCTTCAGATCCGCGCAGCGCCAGCCGTGGCGGCCATTTGTGGGGTGAACCAACAGAAGGAAAACCTTTCTCTCTGTCTCTCTCTCTCATTGTCTATAACTCTACCTGTCAAATAAAAGGGCGGGGGGCGCTTTCTCCTAGCCAGGCTCTGACTTCTTATTCAAGAGAGAACACCCTCCTGAGGTTTTTGCCTTGGTCAGAATGGTGTCATATGATAATCCCTAGCTGCAAGGAAGCCTAGAAGATAAGTATTTCATTTGGGCTCATTGACAATCAAATCTGAGCTTCTGTTGGTAGGAATGAAGGGGAACATAATGGATGTAAAATGGGCAACTAGTATGTCTGCCTCATATACTGTGAGGCGGAAGTCACCCATGCTCTAATAAGCATCAGCTGTTGGTTATCAGCTTGCCATACCACTGCCTCTTACCTCTTAGTCATAGTTAGCTGTACGTAGTGTCCTACAAAAAGCAACTTACTTGGTTTAACATTCCATCTAACATCACCACCATGGTAAGTACACTCAAATATTGCAAAAATAAATATGTTAATCAGAATTTGGGAAACACCTGAGAAGAGATTCAAGCTCCCGTGTGGTCTGTGGGTTGCAGACTTTGTTGCAAGGACAAGTAACACACCTGAGACTCAATATTCAAACCATCCTTGAAGGCATGAACAGGAAAGATTTTCTTTGGATGACTTTGGTCATGTATTCCTTGGGATTCTTCACATGGCATTAAGCAGAATTCAGGGTTTCCCGGATCTTCCATGTAGAACTTGTCAGAATCTGGTTTCTGCCTGTACCTCTCAAATAACACCACCTAACACAATCCCCTCTCTTCTGCCATATTGAACTCCTAGCAGGTCTCCAAGCTCAATGGAATACCTTCTGAGCCTCTGGGCTCAAACAAAGTTGGCACCTGCCAACCTCCCCCATCTTATCTGCTGCCCTCTTTTCTCTCCCACTGTACTTCAGCCACACTGGTTTTTGCCAACCCCAAATACAGTTTATTCCCTCCTAAGACTTTTGCAGAGGCAGGCATTGTGGCACAGCAGGGTAAGCTGCCACTTGGGACACTGTCATCCCATTATCAGAGTGCCAGTTCGAGTCCCAGCTGTTCTACTTCTGATCCAGCTTCCTGCTAATGTGTATGTGATGGCAGTGGAAGAAAGATATTTGCAGTAGCTTCTCCCTCTGCCTGGTATGAACATCCTGAGTTCCACAGTTGCCACTCAGATCTCACTGTAAATGACATCTCCCAGAAGAGCCCTTCCCACTCTGCATTCTAAAGTAGCTTCCTCACCCATCTGCTACCACCTCATACCACCTGCCTATTTTCCTAAAGCACATCTCACTACCTAATGCTCTTCTAGTTTGAGTATTACTGTCTCTCTCCCCTACTAGAATGTTGGAATTATGAGAAGAGATCCTGTCTGTTTTATTCACTGCTGTATCATCAGTAACCAAATGGTACATGGCACTTAGTATATATGTAGGTCATATTTATTGCATAAATACATGGATAAATAATTGAATGGCATTCCTCTGCCCAAAACATCCTTCCATAAAATCTCCCCCTCATCCTTTAAGTTACAGATCTTGGACTCCCCAACATGTCTGATTTAACACTCTCTCTTCTGCATTCTGATACTGCCTTCTCTAGAGTAGCATCAATTATACATAATGTAATTCTTTTTTTTAAAACTATCATATTTGAAAGGCAGAATGACAGAGATGGAGAGAGGGAAGGAGGGAAAGCAAAAAGAGAGAGAGAAGTCTTTCATTCTCTGGTTTACTTCCCAAATGCCCACAATAGCTGGGGGTAGGCCTGGCCAAAGCCAAAAGCCAGAAAATCTATCTGGATCTCCCTTTTGGGTGGCAGGGACCCAAGCACTTCTTGGAACATCAGTAGGAAGCTGGATCAGAACATAGAGTAGCCAGGACTCAAACCAGCACTCCAATATGGAATGCAGGCAAAACAAGCAGCAGCTTAACACACTGCCACAGCACCCACCACTATATTGTAATTCTTGATTGCTTGTCTGTTTCCCCATCAGAAACAAACTTCACTGGGTAAAGTCTGTAATTTATGAAACACACAGCAGTTCTTTCCAAATACATGCAGTACCTTTGGACATATTAGAAAAAGGATTTTAGCTTGCTAAGTGCTAATGGGCTGGAATGCAGCCCCACTCTCTCCTTAGCAGAGAACAATGTACACGTCAGTATGTAGTGGCCTAGGTAGATGATACCTGTGTGTATTTCCTGAAGGAATGAGTTGCTTCTGTTTCTTAGCAGGTCTCTCTCTCTCTCTCTCTTTTTTTTTTTTCTTTTGACAGGTAGAGTTGGAGTGAAAGAGAGAGAAAGGTCTTCCTTCCGTTGGTTCACTCCCCAAATGACCGCTATGGTCAGCGCTGCGCCGATCCGAAGCCAGGAGCCAGGTGGTTCTTCCTGGTCTCCCATGCGGGTGCAGGAGCCCTCCTGGGCCACAGCAGAGAGCTGGATTGGAAGAGGAGCAATTGGGACTAGAACCCGGTGCCCATTTGGGATGCCGGCGCCACAGGCAGAGGATTAACCAAGTGAGCCACGGCGCCAGCCCCTTGAGCAGTTCTCTTAAAAGCAAAGGAACTAAGGTGGGAGGAAGGATGAGATTAACCTTTATCAGAAGTCCACGCTGCCACTGTTCTAGAGTCTTTTTCACACATTTCAGGTAATTCTTACGACAGCCCTGTGCAAGAAAGATCAGTGTTACCATTTTGCGGATGAAGAAATAGGCTCATAGAGATGTTTTGCAACTTCCCCAAGATCATACCACCAGTAAACAGTGAGTCTGATTGAAACCAAGGCCCATCTGCTTCCAAGGTTGCCTTTTGTGTGTGTGTGAAGTTTTTTTATTATTATTATTCTATTTATTTGAAAGAATTACAGAGAGAGAGATGTAGGTAGGTAGGTAGGCCTTCCATCCGCTGGTTCACTCCCCAAATGACCACAGTGGCCAGAACAGAGCTGACCCGAAGCCAGGAGCCAGGAGCTTCTTCCGGGTTTCCCATGTGGGTGCCCAGGCCCAAGGAGTTGGGCCATCTTTTACTGCTTTTCCAGGCAGAGAGCTGGATTGGAAGTGGAGCAGCTGGGACTTGAATAGCACTGCAGGCTGGAGCTTTAACCCACTGCGCCAGAGCGCCGGCCCCCAA